TAATGTGAACATTCGATCCAAAACCAAAAGTTAATGAGTGGAGAAGTTCAACATCTTTTTGAGCATTTTATACAAGACTTTATAAATATTAATAGTCTCCGACTAATGTAAGATATTCTTAGCAACACATACGTTTAATGATGTATCATCTTATATAGATATTACTATTGATCAATATTAAACGTAATTAGCACTTATATTAAAAACATCTTAGTATTATTTTGTATTGATAATGACCCTTAATTTGGATCTTAGTATAGAGCAGGGATAGGGATGCTACTTAATTTGCAACCCTAGTTGTCAAATTTTCAGTAATCGTAATTAATTTATGGGTCTGATTTCCAGATTGTTCATTTGGTGAGTTCCTTCCTCGTTCCTAAGGGTAATGCTAGGGAGATTAAATTTGTAAACTAAATTATGTGTTCCTAATAAGAATTAGCACGTTTATCAACGCATAAGTAATAATCCAATCATCAACTTCCATATCATTTAGTTCACAAATTTTTGTCTACAATTTTAGTCTTCCTAGCATTACCCCGTTCCTAATTAGTGGATATTAAGATTGATTATATATTAATGGAAAGTTTAAATAATGGATTATAGAATAAAAAGCAAAGTGAAAGAATCAAATATATTCCAACCGCCAGAACTGAAAATGGATGCTAGAATTTGGAACCAAAAATGTGTCGTGGGAAGCTGGGAATCCCCATAACGACGATAATAGAAAGTTAGAATGGTGACTTGTGAGGTGTATATAGAGTCCCACAAATGAGAAAGCAATCGGTTCAAATCAAAATAGAATTGCTTGTAACACGTTGGCAGATGCCATTGGACAGTTTGGAAAGTTGGAGTTTTCTCTTGGAGGCGATATAGGATGAAGTATTATGTTGAATTGTATGACATGCACATATAAATCAAGATTCAATGTTCGATCAATTCAATGATCAACAGTCAACAAAAAATAATTGCGGTGGAAGGAGAAACCCAAAATTATTTAAACAACTAAGCCAAAACTTCCTTTATCAAAAGACCTAATAGAATAGCAGTGATGATGAGAAAAATAGAAATTGAACATTGAAAACAGAAAATATTACCAAGCTCTAAACAATGGAAGAGAATCCTCTCCTGATTAATTCTATCCAGATCCAAGGGATCAACAAATCCTGATCGTAAGAAATAGATCTTACGGTCAAAAATTCCCTTTACTATTTCCCCCACAACACTTCTTTCACATCTCTCTCCTTCTCGCATGTATTAGATTCCAGAAAGAGGATAGCCACCATCATCCCAACATATAGTCGCCAATACTTGTTGCAGCAATTTTTTAGTGACAGATTAGTATGGGTGGTGTTTGTAGTTTTCGTACATGTGGTAGCTGTTTAGAGTTTTATTATAGTTGTCTGTTTAAGGAAATTCACTCTAGATCATTGTCTTGATCACTGGAGTTATGTACTTAATTGGGACAAATGTATTTCTTTCGATTGATCAATGAAATATCAACCATCGTTTCTTGTAAAAAGTTTATGTTATTCTCTATTAATTTTATTTCTACTCTATTTTATCTGTTACTTGAGCGTTTAGAATTTGTAAACTCTTGATTGGTTCTTCCTATTGAGTTTAATAATTCTTTAAGCTAGTATAGATAACAAGGTTATCATGCAATATAATTATGAATAAGGTGAACATATAAAAATATCGATACATATGTTGTTTTGGATTTTGGATTAATGTGGATAGATATATTATCATATTTTGGTTAATAATTTTATAAATTGTTGGTGTGGAATCCAGACTTGTGGTCAAGGAGAGGCTGAAATGCCTTTGTGAGTCTTTCCGGCCCTCGAAAGGGATAAAAAACCGTAGCTTGCCACCAGTTGTCTCATTTTTCAAAGAAAAAATAATAATTTTATAAATAATTATCCGATTTTCTTTCGCATTTGTGAGAAGTACGACTCCACACAATTCTGCCATTGAATATTATAAAATAAATAAATACCCCCAAACTCATACTATCCGCTTTACTCGGTAACAAAATTCTCTTCGACAAAACAAAAGTGAAAACTGAAAACAGATAATATATCTTAAGAAACTCATATTTCAGAAGTGAAAATTATTTGTGTGCTATTTTTGGACCACTGATATCTCTGTAGGTCCCATTATTTCCCTTCCCTTTGTTTGTTATGGTCTCTTAATAATTAATATGTGTTCCTTGTTGAGGCTTGTCCTCCTCTTTGGTTGATATATTATATATTTAAAATTAAAAAAAAAAACCTTCAGCTGGGGATATTGTTTAAATTTTAACACTAATTGACATACAACTGATTAAATGAGATAGAGTTTATACAGGTTTTTCAGTATGTTCGAAACATAGGGTAATACACAAATAATGAGATACCTATGTTAAAAAATAAAACTTTTTACCACTTATCCAATAATACGTGGTACACATCCCGTGTTTTGAACATTGAGAAAATTTCCTCCTCTACATTAGCCACACTTCTTAGTGTTTTTGGAGTATTTTGCTCGCATTTACCGGAAAAAAAAAATTATATATATATATATGTAACATCCCACATCGTCTAGAGAAGTGGATCCTGTAAGTCTTATATGTATATTCCCATCTCTACCTAGCACAAGACATTTTGGGAGCTCACTGGTTTCGGGTTCCGTAGGAACTCCAAAGTTAAGCGAGTTCGCATGAGAGCAATCTCAGTATGGGTGATCCACTGGGAAGTTCTCGTGTGAGTTCCCAGAAACAAAATCGTGAGGGCGTGGTCGGGGCCCAAAGCAGACAATATCGTGCTACGGTGGAGTCGAGCCTGGGATGTGGTGAGGAACCAGGCTGGGATGTGACAATTTGGTATCAGAGACAATCCCTGGCCGAAAGTGTGCTGACGAAAACGTCGGGCCCCTAAGGGGGGTGGATTGTAACATCCCACATCACTCAGGGGAGTGGATGTTGTAAGCCTTATATGTATATTCTCATCTCTACCTAGCACGAGGCCTTTTGGGAGCTCACTGGCTTCTGGTTCTGTAGGAACTCCGAAGTTAAGCGAGTTCACACAAGAGCAATCCCAGGATGGGTTACCCACTGGGAAGTTCTCGTGTGAGTTCCCAGAAACAAAATTGTAAGGGTGTGGTCGGGGCCCAAAGCGGACAATATCGTGCTACGGTGGAGTCGAGCCTGGAATGTGGTGGGGACCCGGACTGGATGTGACAATATATGTATATATATACACACACAGTATCAAACATGTGTAATACACACACACACACACACATACACAGTATCGGATATGTGTAATGCAATCTTACAAAAAGAAGTATAGTTCTATACAATGCCATGGATTGTCAAGTAAAAAGTTTACTTCTTTCAAAGAAAAGATCTCTGAGTTATGTTATGATGATTGATGGACCTTTCTATTGTGATATTTCTTTTGACAAATATGCAATTGACGTGGAAGTAGTTTTATTCTTTATAACCACGTATAAGATCTCCTTTTTTTGGGACGTGAGGTTTATAGTCTCAACACACGCTTTTATGTGTGATGAATTTTCAAGTTTAACACGTGAGAACATAAATCATCTAAAGTGAAGTATGTGTAGAGGTTGTGCTTCACAAATAGGCAAACATGCTCTATATCATGAAGGAAGTCGACGTGTCACTATAAAATCAATTGGCAACATTAGTAACTCAATTCCTTATAGAGAATGTTTTATAAGGAATTAGGTTGGGGTTTTGGTGCCGAAATTAGGTTGGGGTTTTTTTCCTTGTTGAGGGTTGAAAAGTTTTATGCAGTGCTACCTTCGTCGAAATCAAGGTGGTGTTGGTTTTCTTAGGGCAGCTTCTCTTGTGACTGTCGGCGAAGTGGTTGTTGTGGTGGTGGCATTTTGCTGGATAGGGATTTGGGTTAAGATTTTTCTTTTCAATTTTTGTTCTTGTTGAATGGACTTTTTGGCTATCCTTTGTCGAATTCAATGTGTGTTGGTTTTCTTAGGGTGGCTACTTACGGTGGTGGTGGCATTTTGCTGGATAGGGATTTGGGTTATGATTTTTCTTTTCAATTTTTGTTCTTGTTGAATGGACATTTTGGCTATCCTCAATTTGCATTGGATTGTTTGATGTAACTTGTATTGGGTCTTTTCCCATTTAATGAATTTCTATTTCCTTGAAAAAAAAAAGAAATTATATAGTTTATAAAGAGAGGTAACTTATCAATGTCAAGGGTCCCTTGTAAAAGAGTAAAGTGAAATGTAAAAAAAAAAAAAAAAAGAAACTGGAGGAGAGATTTGTTGGCAACTCGAATTTCGAACTCATCGGTTGGACATCCATTGTCTACACTCTTTATGTCTCTCTATAATTGACCAAGAAAAACAAAAATGAATGCAATATTATAGTGTATAAAGAGGGAGTATATTCATTTTAATTGACTTGGTTACACTTGTATGAGTTATGTTTACCGCTTCAATTTTATTTATTTTAACATGACTAAATAAGATACCAACAAGTCACTGTATTTGAGCAGTAAAATCTTTCTCTCGCCCCAACTCGGCAGAAAAGTGGGAAACACATTGAGTAAGCAAATTTGGGACGAACAATATTGATGAAATAAAATTGTTCTTGAATAAGCAAATAATTCTCTTATGTGCATATATTTTTGTTATTTACTAAACTCGCGTACTAACATATTATTTGGTTAACAAATTTGATAGTTCTAACCTTGTTGATGAAGTTATAACCTTCTCACCAATCTAAAACTGTGGTTTCCCTATAGTCCAATCAGACAATTACATATATCCTTAATAATTTTCTCAACTAAAAATCGTGGACAGGAGAAAATGAACCCAAACCCATGTTGAATTTGAAAGGGTAGAAATGTGAAGTAGGACTTTAGTGGTTGGAGGTGGCTTTGAAAAAGGAACTAAAAACTTGAGTAATAAAATTCGATTGGTGCGATTCATGCGCCTTCTCGTTCGTCACGTGCCTCCGGCGTGAGTGACGTGTCCCATCCCATACATACTTTCATCATAAATATTTCTAAAACTCTCTCGAGCAATATCTCTCTAATTCTATAAATCTCTTCCCATGGTTAAGTTGCAGGCTTAGCTCCAACCAGTATTAAAGCATCATATCTTTGTAGTCTGGAGGGAAAAGATTTCTGGGTTTTGGTTGCAATTAAGAAATAGAAATGTTGTGGCAGAAGAAGCAGCGTTTTAATTGGGTAGTGCAGATGCTAGTTGCTGTGGGATTAGTACTAGTTGTGATTGGAGCTAGTAATTTGCAGACTGTGGAAGGAAGGCCTCACAGGATTCTTGTCGATACAGATGTCGATACCGATGATTTCTTTGCTCTCTTGTACCTCTTGAAGCTTAACAGATCAGAGTTTGAGTTGGAGGTGAGTTCATCATCCATCATCATCAATTGTTTGTGTTCATCCAGAAAGTAAAGGCTATAAGTTGGGTTTGTCAAAGCTAAGCTTTCCAAATCTGCAAATGCTTAGAGCTCTCAAAATTTACATGTCTCTTCGATGTACGTCTTTCCAACAATTGTATATGTATGCATATATATATGCATGCATGCATGTATATATACACACGCATATATACATATATATATTATATTCTTTTCTTGCGTTAGGAATCTAAGCAAGTGATGATCACCAGAAAAACTCATCGAATTAGTTTTGGTTGATTTAAATTTTAATTGATATTTGGCTTTGAAGGTGCAGAACTTTTTTTTATTTTTATTTTTATTTTTTAATGCCTTGAGGACCGAGTCAAATGATTCATACAGTTGAATGGATTCTATATTTGGGAAAAGGTGTAATTTAATAAAATATCAAGACAGTGTTCTTGGAGTTTTAATATTTTCTCAAGCTAAACCTTGTTTAACTAATTAAAAATTAATCTTTTTGGTCAAACGACATGTAAAAGTAAAACAACTTTTATTTCCTTTATGCAAAAGTGAATCATTGTTTTTACCTTAAACATGTTTTCTTGCAAAGTAGAAAAATAAATTCCAACTATAGTTTTCTTCCCTTGCACCCAAATTCTTGTCTCCTTCTACGGTTTTCATCTCTTGCAAAGTAGAAAAATATATTTCGACTACAATTTTCATCTTTTGCATCCAAGTTCATGTCTTCTTCTACGACAATTGGAAAAGCGTTTTATTTTAAAAAAGTAAAAATAAATAAATCATTATTGTTTCCTTAAACCTTGGTAATTATAGAACTGTAAATTTGTTTTACCACAGGCAGTGACTGTGAATGCAAATGCTTGGACCAATTCTGGGCATGCTGTGCATCAAATCTATGACATTTTGTACATGATGGGGCGTGATGACGTGAGAGTTGGAGTGGGTGGTGAAGGTGGGATCAAAGAAGATGGTACAATTTTGCCAAATGTTGGTGGATATCTTCCAATTATCGAACAGGCATGAACGGATTATATATCTCAACTCATGAATCATAATTATGCTTACTTAATCATGTTAAATTCATATTTACGGACACTAATTTATATTACTTTAAAAAACAATTAACTTCAGAGGACTACAACAGCAGGAGGATGCAGATATAGACAAGCCATTCCTGTAGGTGCTGGAGGTCGATTGGATATTGATTCTAATTTTGGCCTCAGAAAATCATTTCTCCCCCAGGTAAAAATAATGTACACACAGTAATTTTAAGCTGTATTTCTTATATACTCTCTGGTTATTTTTTTCTTCACTTTGAGTCTGCCAAAGTTTTGCATACATTTTTTCTCCTTCTGCATATAACTATTATAAAATGTATCTTATTAAAGAACGATGTGAATGAGAAGAAAAAGGGCGTGTAGAAATCTTTTTTCAAAATTAAATCTTTGACTTGAAATATGGTGAACCAAATGGCTCTACGTTGAAAGCTGATGGGAAGAAATTATAATTAGCACTGTTACTGTAGTAAATCGACATCATTGACTAAGGTACTAAAAAACGATAAGTGCTAGTAGTAGGGATCTAATGCCTAGGCAAATTAGGTAGAATTAATTAAATTTAGTATATAACATATAAATAAGTGCCTACTTACACTCTAAAAATTAATAATATACTTGTATTGAGAATTTTAGAAAACTTAAAACTTAAGCCATATTGTCACCATAACTGACAAATGCAACAAAAAATAAAAAATAAAAAATAAAAACCAAAAACCAAAATTGAAAATTCACTAATTAAGTAGGTTATTTAGAAAAACCTTTAACGTAATTAAAAAAAAAATTAAAAACAATGAAACCGCCTAACCCCCCTAACTCGCCTAACCAGCCTAGCCCACCTAACCCGCCTAACCATTGCCTAGCATGCCTCGCCCCTACTCGATTTTTTCCATGTTTCGACCTAAATCGCATCGGTCCTCCACCATCTAACTACCTACACTGATTTTTAGAACACAGATATCGACCCATACTAGTACTTAATTTATGTTATATAACGACTCTTTAAAGCTATTAATTAAGTTATAACCATACCAATATATATCGACAACATATAAAAACGATATCGATATAATAAGACAATATCGACAACATATAAAGATGATATCTGTTGCATGCATAATTTACTGAACAACTATGGAGGCCAGAAAGAGAAAGAAATGTGCAGCAATAGTAGAGAAGGAGAGATATGTGTAATTGTGGGTGTGTGTTATTCCACCTCATTGTGCCTTTATTTATAGTAGTAGGGAAGGTTAATTCCTTACCCTTTAGGATTACAACATTTAACAGGTAATCTATTCCTAATAGGAATATAAGATACATTCTCATATCTACTAGGATTTACACAATCACATTCCTATTCCAATAGGACTGCAACACTCCCCCTTAAGTGTGTAAATACTCAAATAAATGACACATCAAGTCTTCAGTGATGAAGCATGTACATTTGATGAAATCGTTGGCACAATGAGTGAATGCGAGTCTCAAATCAACGGAAGAATGCATAAAAAGTAAAACTCACAAAACCTTTGCTATGGTAAAACCCAAGGTGGGAGAAAAACCCATAGACTAAGGAGAAAAGTGAGAAGTTGCATTAAGTCAAAACTATACGTCTTTTGGACACAAGTAGAAGAGCTTTCAAGGGCATGATCAACCCTGGATGGGTGCCTCATTAAAACCTAGTTAGGTAGCAACAACCCAGTGGGAAAAATGCTCCTAATTGTAGGGAAAAAGAGTACATTAGGATCAAGTGAGTATACTTCTCCTGAGTTTGACATAACTTCCAAATGAAAACTACAAGCATTGCATATGACAGTTAGGCATACCAATTCCTCGGACAAGCTTCTGGAAGGTTGATTTTGGCAGTGATATCATGTAGAGGTCGGTAAGCTTGTCTGGGATTGGCTTGCATGACTTTAATCTCCTGATGCTCTGCTGATGTAGCTGTAGACGCAATATGTCTTGGCGTTGACTTTGTTGATGTATCATGTCATGGTCGGGTGAATACATGCGGTATAGTCTTCATAGATCGTCGTTGGGACTCAATGATGGATGAAAACACAACAAATACTTCAAATATGCTCAACAAGAACTCCTAACCCTGTCTCACTTGTGGCGTAGTGAAGTGAGGTGAGTCTTGGAACGATTCGAAGATTTTGTAACTAAGGTCATATCGTGGACTTCCAAGATATTGCGATATCCCTAACGGTAAAGACATAACCATTTAGGGATTTTACTTTGTGCCGGTTTGATAAGTAACCTGCGTCAGCATAACAAGAAGGCAATCATCATTTCAAGGATCAGGGGGTTGGATCCGCTTGAGATGCGTTGAGATTTTCCCTCGTAGTACCTTCAAGGTATGTCTTTAATACAAATTCAGTGGTTGCGTGTAGGTGTAGTGATGCATCTTTACCAAGATCAACAGCGAAAAAGATGTCCTGTCTAAATACAATGAGCTAAGTACAACGAAGCGTAAAGTTGAACTTTAGATATGGAATTTCGGATTCCATAACCTTTTCAAGAGTCTTATTTGCATATAATGTATGGACGATCAAAGGTATACTCAAAAGTGACACATTCAGAGTGTAGTTCAACTGGTAGACCAAGGTACCGTTAGAACAATGCTTGAACTCCAGGTCAAGGCATAAACGAGTTTTGCTATGATCCTTCATCTCAAATTTCATCTTCAGGTGCGAGGTAGTTCTCAAGCTTTTCCGGAGTCTTAGTGAGATTTGTGTTACCGACATAGACTGTAACTCTAGCAATTCGGAATAAGACTTCATAGTTTAACATGCAAAGGCATAATTTATATCCCTGACTGATCAAATAATCACTTAGATGAGTATACCACATCCGTCGAATTGTAAGTGAACGCCTTAAAACGAGTTAATAGGGTGTTCCGTGGTTTTGGAACTATTTGAACCAATCTATGTAATTCTTCAGGAACTTACATGTAAATCTCCATATCTATATCCCCATGAAGAAAACACTAACCACATTTCATAATGCTGCTATCAATCACATGACATTTTGAGAGATACCTTGCGCCATAAGGCATGCATCATATCGCACTATTTCATTCATCTCATAACGCTTCCTTTCCCACTTGTAACACAATAGGGTTACCTTGGGCAGTGTAGGAACAACAGGTTCAATACACACTTTGGTAAGAAATTTAACCTGGATTGTAATTTCAGTTGTCCAATTAGTTCTATGTTGCCACTTAATTAACGAAACACGGTTTGATATCGTCGCTTTTCATTTATGTCGGTAGCTACCATATAAGTGAAAATATCATCGATGATAATCTCATTTCGGTTCCATGTAGCTCATCCAAACTAGTGTACTGGACCAAAAACTTCAAGTCTCGGGAGTAATCCGGATTAATCTCATGAGATGGAAATGATTTGAGACAACGATCGAGTTTAGATTCATCGTTGTGCCGTGTTTTCCTCTTTTAGGGAAGTGAATCCTACGAACCGAATGATCTGTCGTGCTCCAGGCCAAGATAGATTGATTGGCTATCCGTCAGTGTACCAAACCGTCCAACAGGGGGCGTTTAAATAGTCCAACATAGGTGGCACATCCTCCAGGGATGTTGACTCGACATCCGTGAAGTAAGTCTATCCTTGCAGGTATGTTTGGAGCTGGTATATGATCTCGTCACTTTAGCTAGATCAGAGAAATCCATCTGGAGCAACATTCTAAAAACTATAAGTCATCGCACTTGCTTATTACATTTGTGCGGTATGAGGATTGAGATGAGATATAGTGGGCAACGTCCATGCAAATTCGTGCTGTTCTCCAATAACGTTAACGTTCTTATCTCCCTCTAACGACAGGAAGGCTGTCTCATTAAAGTGACAACCCGCAAATAAGCGGTAAAGAGACCGTGTGCAAGGGCTCTAAGAGAGCTAGTGTGAAGGAGAATCATGATCAACAAAAGATACACATCCTTCTTTAAGGACCCATGTTGGTATGTCGTGACGGCACAACTTGGCACATGGAATGCACACCCAAATGGATAAATACGAAAATCATTAGGTTCGTAACCAGTAACTAACTGTAACGTCATATAGGTTAGGTGGTAATGGGCCTCAAGGCGGACCAATATAACTATGTACAAGGATTGCATAGCCCTAGGCAGAAACCCAAAACTTGGTACTTTTACCAAAATTGGGGCGATCATTTAAATTTGCGCTTTATGATCGCTGGGCGAGGCTATTTGGGGTGAACATGGGAATTCAATGTTCAATTATAAACCCAAAATACATGCAATACTTTATCGAAAATTGTCGATATAAACTCTCCGGCATTATCCAGTCTCCCGGACCTTAAGGGATAAGTAGGGTGGTGAGCCCTTAATCGGCCAGTAGATTTAGCAGTAATGTGTGTGGACAAACATGTGACCATTTTGTTAACTCATCAACCAAAACCATAAGTATTTATATGGTCCGCATTTTGGTTGGATTAGTCCACATTTATTCCCTTGAATCCACTGTGAAAAGAGAGTCGTGTTGTATCTTTGCGAGGAATGATATAGAAAATCAATTTCCTTAATGAGCATGCTTGGCAAAGTGTGCTTGTAGGCACAATATCCTTACTTCAGATAAGGAGACGCGTTGTAGCATCATTGTTCGACCTAAGTGTCCCAAAAGGTCGTGCCAAAGCAAGTAAACTGCTCAGTCACCAGGCTCCAGGCCGGCCACATATGGTGTATTCCCAGTTGGAAGACAACCCATTGGCCCCAAATCAAAGCTTCAGGCTCATTTTTGGAGGTGGTGCAAAGATATTTCACTCTATTTTCTTCAATGGTTTCATTTATGATCATTGTCATCTCGAATATCCTTAAAAACTCAACGTCAGGGAGAATTTAAGGTCCCTTAAATGGTGATGCAATACCATTCATACAACAAGGAGCGTGTCAATGCTCTTAATTAGGTTGGATAGACCTGAAATCGTTGTTAGAGATATGATTTACGTGTAAAGTTAGTGTGTGTAGTACGCATTCATTGAGACAACTAACTTTCCCACATTCCTACCTAATCACGTGTTTAATTGAATTGGTCACATGTATTAAGAAACATGATTCAATTAACTCATATTCGAGGACAATATCAATAAGATTATCCATAAGTAAAACATACACCAAACTTGAATCCAAGAACATGGAAAAATGTTCACAAAGTAAACCAAAGTTACTAGGGTGGATTCGGCCAACAAGGCCATCCATGTCAAAATTCTGCTCTTCCAACGATGTTTGGTGGAGCAAAATTAGTCTTACATATTAACTACTAGAATGGTACTCCTTAACAACACTGGTAGGGGCACGAACAGGTGCATAACCAATGATCTATTTCATCAAGACGGAAGTAAATTTTGCAAGGTTAAGGTTTGGGAATACTATCCCTTATTCTTGAAGTTTTAGGTCTTAGGTGTCAATGATCACGCTTCGGGCATGATGCCATATCTTGGCAGGCCTTGATTTTACCATATGTTTTTTTTTTAAAAACTCCAAATTGGATTTTGAGAGAGTATGTCATTCGGTGTATCCATGCCAAAGCAGTGCATCACCATTCGGTTAGGCTTTGACCGAACTGGGTTGAGCCATTTGGTAGACTCCAGCCGAACTGGGTCTATACCTTTCTCTCACATTTGTGGTAGTAATCAGATCCGAGAATTTGGTAAACTTACTCTTTCTACATTGCTGCTTCAGAGGCGAGTTAGAAACATGAAGGACGAGAAAAGTATTCTTTAGTCAAAATTCGATCGGATTTATAAACTTCAGAATTGTACTTATTATGAACGTAATCATGGTGTGCTTTAGGCAATGTCTTTCATGATTAAACGGTCCATGGAAGCCAACCAAAGAGCCATGGAATCCTCGTTCATTAGGTATTTCCATTTGTAATGCTTCGGATACAAGTATTCAAATGAAGATCATAGCGGAGGCTTATTCAGCTTTTCCTTACCATTGTTGGCTACAATGGTTTCTCAGCTTCTTGATAGTCAAGTGGAGATTCACGTCTTATACCCACATAAAGTGGTTTCTAATAGAAACATCCAATTCAGGGAAATCGAACTTGTGACAGTTTGACAATCCATTAAATTGGAGGGAATAAGATTGTGATTGGTGCTATGGAAATAAATCATCCATAAGCATCAAAGTTAGAACATTCGGGGTTCTAAGACATGGTTTTCATGAAAAATTCGGGTTTTCATGGGTGTATTGTTTTACGAAACTTTCGGGTTTCAAAGATACTAAATTTGAGGGTTTCAAAGACACTAAATTTGAAACTGCAGGTTCAATTTAGTTTATGAACGTTTAGTTCATAAAAGAGAGGTTCTTGCAAGAAACAAAGAATGCAATATACAACTAAGTGTAGGGGATTTAAGGTTCTTCGGGAACTCAAGTGTGAGAGCTTCGTTACTACGAAAGTATGTCAACGGTTCAAAGTATAAAAATAAATTATTGAATCGTTAATGTCCAAAAGTGATCTTCAGGTCAATAATTTTGGAGTCATTATCAGATTAATGAACTGCAAGTCAGTTTTAATTAATTCAATAGATCGGAGCCAAACAGGGTCTCAATTGTAGAAGCTAAATAATATTAACATACGGGTTAATACTATTTAGAATGCTAAAATAATAGCATGTGGGTCGAAAAAATTGCCCCAAAAGATAATTGGGCTCAGGTTGGGTACCTTGAGTAAAAGGCATGGCCCCAAAAAAGGGCATCGGGTGTGAACTTTCAGGTCACGGGGTGAGGGAGAAAACCCAGCCGCAGCTGGGTTTCAAGGTTAGGCCTTGGGGATGGCACGGGACAAAGCCCAGCAGATTTGTTGGCCTGTTAATGCACGGCAGCCCAGCCACAGTAGGCTGGCATCATGCAAGGACCAAACCCATGTATATAGGTTGATACCGAAGCAAGCTATAAGCCTTAGTGCACGCGGGACAGTAGCCCAGCAAGCATGACAGCTTGCTGGCATGGGCCGAGAGTAGAGGGAGGTTTAAAAAGGAAAGCTGCAAGCTTCCTTGATGACTGGGGACTACGGACCCGAGACAACCTAACCAGGCCAAAGGCCTGGGGTGTGTATATGCTCGCATCAAAGCTGCAGTCAAGGTCCATGTGGGTGCAGCAAAGCCCAGAGGGCTGCTGCCCAGTTTGTGCCGCAAGGGGTGGTGCCATACCATTCCCAAATTTTTTTTCGACATATGTAGGGTTTAAGAAAACCTAGAATTGCTTCTAATTTAATTTGATACTTTGACTCACATATTCCACATAACAATTTAATTGTGCGATGCAGGAAACAAATATATGAACATATACAATATATTTATCGGAAGGAAAATATAAACATAGGGGGTATCATGGGGAATGTTTTCATGCTTCATGGTTGTTTCAAATATCTTACTTTATTTTAAGCGTACCTGATTAGCAGAAAACAACAATAGCCTTTGAATTTGTAGAAGATCCTTCTCGGAAAGCAGGAATTGCGTCTCCAATGCGTTGTATCACGTTCAACAAAGAAAAAATAAATTGAATCAATAGCATGTCGATCAATTCAAAATAATAAATTAATCATAAAAAGAATGATTAAAACATAATACTCTTTTGATTGAAGAATAAACTATAGCGTTAAGAGCGTGCTAATAACGTATTGTAGGTATAATTTACTGAACAATTATGGAGGTCATAGAGAGAGAGAAAGATGCGGCAATAGTAGAGAGAAAGAGAGAGATGTGTAATTGAGGTGTGTGTTATTCCACCCCATTATACCTTTATTTATAGTAGTAGGGAAGGTTAATTCCTTACCCTTTAGGATTACAACATTTAATAGGTAATCTATTCCTAATAGGAATATAAGACACATTCCCGTATCTACTAGGATTTACACAATCACATTCCTATTTCAATAGGGCTGCAACAATATCGATATAATACGACTATTTGATAACAATTATAGTGTTATGGAAGAACACTGCTATGGTGATAATGTTATATGATTATGATAGCTTGTCTGATAAATTCATACATGAACTAGTGAAGAACTGTTTTCTTTATTCATTTTTTGGTGTTACATTAATTCTATATCTTGCTCAGGAATTTTTCTTTTCTTTTCTTTTCTGTAAATGAAATTAGGGCAGCAGGAGATATACTCCCCTTCGACAACCTACTGCTCAGCAAGTGATGATTGACAAAATATCTGGAGGTCCCATTACTGTATTTCTGATAGGAGCACACACAAACTTTGCTCTTTTCCTTATGAGCAATCCACACCTAAAGAAGAATGTTGAGCACATTTATGTCATGGGTGGTGGTGTGAGATCGAAAAACCCTACTGGTTGTTGCCCGGAAAATTCCACGTCGTGTGTTCCTCGGCAGTGTGGTGATCCTGGCAATGTCTTCACAGACTACACTAGTAATCCTTACGCAGAGTTCAATTTCCTTGGTGATCCCTTTGCTGCGTACCAGGTAATACTACAGTTCAATATATATTTTTCGGCCGTGAATCATTGCTAGACGGTGAATTTTAACGTCACATTTTGACAACAGCCGTCAGCTGAATCAATGGTTCAAATTTACAGTTTGACGACATAAACATCTTATGTTGCCAAGCAGTGACAACAGAACATTATATAGTTTTATGGAAAACGAATTATTATGTCATCAAATTCATACATTCGGGCAAGAATCAACTTGGTTAATGGTTCATATTCACAGTAGGTCTAGTCTAGCAAATACGTCGTCCAATAGTTTGAGAAGAGAAAATTTTCCGGTTTTATAAATGGTCGCGTTGGTGACAATGAAATTGATATATTTCAGGTTATACATTCTGGGATTCCAGTCACCCTTGTTCCTCTGGATGCAACAAATACCATTCCCATTAGTCAAAACTTCTTTGATGCCTTTGAGAAGAGCCAGAACACATATGAGGCACAATATATCTTCCAGTCCTTGAAAATGGCTCGTGATACTTGGTTTGATGATCAATTCTACACGGTACATCCACGATTATTCGATTTTTCTGTGTTTATTAGACTTTGCCTACCTTTCTTAAGGATCAAATAATCTGATATGATACAATGTGACTATTTTCAGAGCTATTTCATGTGGGATTCATTCACAGCTGGTGTGGCGGTATCAATCATGCGAAACAACTCGAATAATCCTAATGGAGAAAATGAGTTTGCGGAAATGGAGTATATGAATATAACTGTGATTACTTCAAATGAACCTTATGGGGTAACTGATGGCTCTAATCCTTTCTTTGATGGCCTCAAAGTTCCAAAGTTCAACCTAGACAAAAATGGTGTGCATAGTGGTCATGTTCAAAAGGGACTAAGAGATCCATTTTGCATTGGGGAGAATGGCAAAGGGAAATGCAAGGTAACTAACTTGCTTTCTAGTTTACAACTTCCAAAATATAATCTCGTAAGCCTCATTTGGAGTCTGGTATTGAATTGGAAGGGATAACTCACTAGATTTAATGTTTGTTGAAAGAAGAAATGGATGTCAAATTCTAAATTTTCATCTAAGGTAGAAGATGGATTAGCCATGAAGGAAACTTATCCTTCCAAGTCCTATCATTTTGTGGGGATTGGAAGAAATTTGTTTTCTTTATGACTAATCCATCTTCTACTTTCGACTTGGACAATATTCGAAATTTGTCATCGGTTTCTTCATCCAATCCCAATTATAGAAACCAAAAGAGGATTTAGTGGTTGTAAGCTTACCTTACACGAATTCTCATTTAAGGCAAAGTGCAGTCAAGTTTATCAATAACATATGCACATTCTGAAAAAGTGCGGATAACTACACTACACAAAACTTTGCGTGCTTATGTTATAATCTTTGTAAACTCGATTTTGTTTTAAAATCTTGAAAGTGCTTAAAATAAGGGTAAGCTTGATTTAATGAACAAGAATGCTAATGTTTATACATGATCTTCAAATGTTGAAGAATTTCCTATTTTGATACAGGATGGTTATACAGAAGAAGTAACAGGATCAGAGGCAGTGTCTGTGCTTGTTGCTACAAAAGCCAAACCAAATCAGGACCCTCAAAGCTCACTTGACAGAGAATTCTTCATAAGTTTCTTGGATGTAATTAAGCCCACTTAAATCTTTTTTCCATTTAAGTTTTGCAGGTTTGTATAAATTTTTTTTACTCTTTTCCAATTTTTTTTTCTTGCAGGTTCTGAACAACCCTCAACAAAAAGGGAGATTCAATTTAACAACCCAATTTCCATTTTACAAGGAAGTTACATACAAACCAGAATTTGGAAACAGAAAACTTGGAAAACCTGTTGTCTTTGACATGGATATGAGTGCTGGAGACTTTGCAGCTCTCTTCTACCTCCTCAAAGTACCTATTGAAGTGATTAATCTCAAGGTAGAATTTTTGTTGCTTCTTTTTTCTAACTTAACTTGGTTAGTCCCCCGAAAACTGATAATGTTAGCGAGAAACTCTTAAACAATCAAATTATACGTATAGAAAACCACTCACCAAGAGCACAATAACAGTTGGGTTCAGGGTCTTTTCTTCGAAATGGAGCTTTAAACCCTGAAGATGCTTAATTGCGAAGAATCCCTATTTTTCGAGAAAATAGATTGGCGGAAAAACTTAAGAGAGTAGCTTAATTTGTCATTGATTTCCATATATGAGAAAAATCTGTTTGTGTTGGTTTCAGGCAATCATAGTAAGCCCAACCGGGTGGGCAGATGCTGCAACAATAGATGTGATTTATGACTTGCTGCATATGATGGGCCGTGATGACATCCCAGTAGGTCTTGGAGATGTATTTGCTACAAACCAGTCTGATTCAATCTTCTCTGCTGTTGGAGACTGCAAATACCTGCAGGCCATCCCTCATGGCAATGGTGGATTGCTGGACTCGGACACTCTCTACGGCCTTGCTCGCGATTTGCCACGAAGCCCACGAAGGTATTACTTTTCTGTCACTCACCAAATGATGTGTTAGATACATGTCAGTATCTAATGAGGTTAAAGGTGAACCAGATTTGAATAAACGAAACACTACCATATTATTTAGTGAACTTAGTAAACGAATTTGGTGAGCTTAGTGATACTCTATGCAAAATCATATGTTCCTTTAGATGGACCGAGAGTGAATTCTTAAGTCCTTTTTACCAGGTATACAGCAGAAAATTCTTTAGAATTTGGAGCCATTCGGGATACAGATCACCCTGAACTCAGGCAACCACTAGCATTGGAGGTTTGGAAAGCTGTGGTGAAAACACTAGATCCAGGATCCAAGATTACCATACTGACCAATGGACCCTTGACTAATTTAGCAAAGATCATTTCGTCGGAAAAGAATACCACCTCTCTAATACAGGTGAGTTCATTGAGCTTAATTTGTATATTCTCACATCAAGTATTTGCAGCAATGATGCCAATGTTGCTCATTGCAGGATGTATATATTGTTGGAGGGCATCTCAGGAGCAATGACAGGGACAAAGGAAATGTGTTTACAATTCCTTCCAATGACTATGCAGAGTTCAATATATTTCTTGACCCTTTGGCTGCAAAAACAGTCTTTGAGTCCTCACTTAACATCACACTCATTCCCCTTGGCATCCAGCGCGAAGTTAGTTCATTCTCGAAAATCTTAGAAAGGATGCGCTGGAAGAAGAAGACACCTGAGGCCAATTTCACCCGGCGTTTGCTGTCAAGGCTCTACCGTTTGCAGCAATTGCACCATAGATATCATCACATGGTAAAATAGCTTCTTATCTAAGAATATATGCATGAAACACTCTTAATCTGTGGTAGGGAGTCTATTCCAACACTACTTCACATATCTGACCGGTTTATTGTCGGACTCACACAATCGGGCAACCATCCACCTGATTAATGGTCTAGATTTACGGTCTAACATCTTACGTTCTCACTTTTCATATGTTATATTATGCTGCAGCAAACTTTTTTGGGGGAAATTCTTGGAGCAGTTCTCATAGCTGGTGATTCCCATCTGAATGAAACCTTCCAAGTGAAGCCCATCAAGGTTTATGCTGAAGGTGTTGAATCCAGTGATGGACAGCTTATGATCGACGAAAATCAATGGAAACTGGTCAGATTATTGGACAGTGTAGATCCTGAGGCCTATTACGATCTTTTTGCAGACCGGCTTAGTGATTCAAACCAGTCTGCTGTATTAGCTAGTTTCGAAGAGCAAGTAAACTTCTGGCGGAAGCCTCCAAATCAGTCCGGCACTGCTCCGTAACATGTAGAAATTTGAATGAACAAAGTAGAGATTCTGCTTCAAATATAGCACAAATGGCAAAAACAAAGAAAGGAATACGAAACGGAAAATGCCATTGGAATTGTTCATTGGCTTATTTGTTTGACAAGGTAAATTGTTCATTGATGATTCACTGTACTTGCACAGAGGGGAACCTGCTACATCATATTTTTATAATGCACAAGTTGCCACTACTAAAAGTAATTATAACAATAATTGATCTCATCTCAATAGATTAAGCTTTCGGGAACATGATCATAACCATGTCATTGTCACTAATCATTATTATAATCTCACCACCCCAAGCCTGCCAACTTTCCATGCTTTATCCCTTGTTGCACCATTGTTCGATTTAACCACCCGTTGCAGGGAGTGACAGACAGCTCTCTGCAACAAGGGTATATCGCTTTTCTTTCCTTCTCACACATCATGCGATGTGTGAAAATGTAAAAAAAGGTGTATATTGATGTGTGAGAAAGAAAGTGAAGCGATATAACCCCATTTCGGGTAAGTTATAATGCATAACAAAAAACCTTTAACATGGATCATTTTCCTTTTTCTATTTTATTCTGAGAAAACAAAGAAAGATAATATTGTTAAAAGGAACAAAATGTTATTGTCCGGTTGTGGTGATCATTGAGCCTTCTCATTTTGATTCTCCTTTCCTTAAAGAAAGAATTTGACGAGAAAAACACGTTTGAGCAGCAAACAAATGGCCAGCAAAGCAGATCAAGATTGACAATTAGCTTCAAAGAATCAAATCTTTCACATCTATTTTATAATATGGATTTATTAAACAAGACTTCATGAGTCATTTGTTTAATCTCTGCTGGCACCGATGACAACTAAGGATTGATACGAATGGTAAGCATGTAATTCTACTAATAATACACGGGAAATGATTTTCGCACTCTCTTTTCTCCTCCTGCACTTACCTGCTTGTTTCTGCCCTTGATTCACCGTTTGATTTATACAATCCTGTGGCCAGAAATAAGAGGGGGAGTGCAAGAGGATAGAGAGCGAGTGTGAAATCATTTCCCTAACACAACAATACCAACAACGAGGAACAGCCAACACAAAACTTGAGCCATGTCAAAGTTTCCACAAAAGCAGAAACTGCGGGCTGGAGATTTCTCACGATCAAAACCCTAGTTGAATACAAAAACTTGGGATCGGTTTGCGCAGCCGCAGTTTCAATCACAACGACCCAAAGACATGAATAGGTAAAGTAATTAAGCAATAAAGCATATCACCAGCTAGTATTGGAAGGGAAACTCCTTTTCATAATAACAAGGTTAAAGGTTCATCAAGAAGTGGCACCAGATGGAAAAACTACTACTCATAACATTCATACAAGCACAAATTCAACAGTGAAGAGAAATTTCAATCAATTAAGAGAGGTGTTATACAATACTCGTGCGATGAGATCTCTCCAACCACTCTAACCTTCTTGTTTCTTTTCACAATTGTCGGCTTAGAAATTCAATTCCAACATAGGAATCGACCCGCCAGCTGCCATAATTTGTTGCTCCATCTGAAACCAACAATATTTAAATTTGGAAAAAAAGAATAAGTAAATGGAACAATAATAAGTTAAACATAATAAGCAAAATCAAGCGTCTATACAATTCTACTCACCGCGAAGAGAGTTTCAAGCTTGCTCTTCACGAGGTAGTACTCATGCTTTACTTGTTGAACACATCTAACACACCTGCTAACGAAAAGTCTTTCAGTTTTCATGGTTCAAGACCTCACAACTTCGAGAGCTGATTAAGAAAGAATTAAATGCAAAAGAAAAACACTATATAGGAATGCTTAGAGTAAAGTAAAATCACCCTTCAGTGTTCTGTTCCTCGCAGAAGTTGCGGAAAGCAATGCAGGCATTTTTAACTCTTTGCGCACCAATACTGTTGAGCACAAAAACTCTCATCAAACACATTCAATTAAACATGAACAGCAATTTGCTCTCAAACCTATGTCCCTATATCTAAACTAGATTAAGTTTAGGGTAATGAATAATTATCACACTCCCATTTTCTCCTTCTGTACTCGTTGATTCTCTTTGAACTATTCAATCCAAAGACTAGAAAAGAGGAAGTGCAGAGGGAGAAAGGGGCGTGTGAAAATCATTTCCCGAAGTTTAATCTATCCAAGCATGTACTCTCAGGTTGAACAAAATGCAAAACTGTCCAACAAACTATACAACTAGGAGTTCGAAACGGTAAAACGAGCAGTTCCAACTATAAAATCAACTAAGAAATTCAAAAAAGGACCAACTTTTGCTACTTCATTTCATGTTTCTTTTTCATAGGCAAAAGAATAAGAAAAATTGAAGTGTACCTGGAGCTACTACCCTTGAACTGGTGAACATGGGCATCAACCCTTTTGAAGTCTACGGTTGGCTGTTCTCTGTGCAAACAAAAATAACAAAAGGGAAAATCATGCACTCCTCAAAGTATCCAAAGCAAACTATGAGCACCGCACAAATCAACCCAGTCCTATCTAATCCTAGAGAAGAAACGATAGTGAAAAGGTAAGATCTTGGATTCTTACAGAGCTCTGGTGAGATCATTGAGAAGCTTCTCGGAATCTTCAAAGAAAAGGGACACCACTTCGACAACAAAATCTGGGTTGCTCTCATCCTGCAGCTGTTGGAGCTGCAAAAACTGACCATCCAGAAACCCCTTCTCTCACCCAAACCAAAATAAACCCAAAAAAAACAAAAAATCAGGAACAGAACAAGCAAATACAACGAAAACAAAACAAACCCATCTGTGATTTTGCTTAAATTTCACACTTCTCTGTTGCGTTTACCTCCAGGAACAGGGATTTTGTGTAGTCAACCCACTGTCTCTGCATTTGCCCCACCTCCATGTCTTTGCTTTTGTTCCTTACCGCACAGACAGAGTAAGCGAAAGAGAGCCAGCCAGCTGAGAAAAGCTTGTGCCTTGAATTGCAGATCTTAAGGAATTATTGCACAAATCAGAGAGCATAGAAGTAAAAAAACCTAGAAAAAGGGCTTGGTGAATTCAACGTGAAAAAACAAAATCCAAAAGCTGCTTGCTTTGGGGTATTTGTCTACTGTCTAGTACAGGTAGAGTCTGACCTCCCCTTCTACCTCTTTATGCGGATGTGTGCTCTGGTTTTTACTTTTTTTCCCACAGAATCACAGACCCCACCACTTGCCCTCCTTTATATATAATAATTAGTAATAATAATTTATTATTACCATCTAACCTCCTGCACAATACACTCTCTCTCTACCTTTGTTTTTCTTGTAATTTTGTACATTTTTCAAGTCTTTAGGCTTTTTCTCAAGGAATAAACCCTAGGGTTGGAGAAAGACACGTAGACTGGAATGTTACGGTGGTGGTAAAGTCGGTCTATGTGTTGCTATCATTTAGGAATTGGGCGGTTCTGCTCAATTCATACTTATAATTGTGAAACGAATCAATGTTTTTACACAGTTCATTAGCTTATTTTATGAATATAAATTATGAAGAAAAACAAGATCAACCCAGTTCTAAACATGTTCTAGTTTGGTTCGATTGGGTGCCAGTTCTATTTGGTTTCGGCCTTAACTCATTTGATTTGAAGGGCTTTAAAGAGCCCTCAGCCCTAATGAAAAAAATTGGTTGCAAAATTTTAATTAAAAGAAGACGTCGGGTGAAACTCAAATGAGTTGAAAGGTGAACCTAGGCTTCACAATCTGGACTCAAGTTTGAGTTTGGGATCATTTGGCATCATTAGGTCTTGAGTTCACTCAAGTTATAGGCTCGTGTTGCTCAACTTTGTATTCAACACAACTCGTTTTAGTTTGATTCTTAGCGTTGGTGAATTACACGATAATGGCCAAGGGAGATTGAAATGTCTCTGTAAATCTTCCTAACCATCGAAATGGCAAACTGTCGTGACTTCACTACCCGATATCCCCTTTTTTAAAGGAAAAAAAAAAAACTCTCTTTTCACTATCAACTGTTTATTTCATACCGCCCAATGCTAAAGAATTATTAAAGAGAATTGTATAACCGGATACAAACGTAAATTGCATCACCCAAGAAAATAAAATCCGATTAAAATCTTAGCTAACTTTCTACAACTTATTTATAAAAAAAAAAAGTCGTGGTCTATGCTCCACATATAGAGGGAACAGGACCTGTGATTTACAAGCTGTTAGCGGTTTTGCTGGTTGGAACTAAACCCCAGCCAGCTTGTTAGGGATTTTAGGGTTACTAAAATTAAAGATAATTATTAGAATAATCCCCAACTACTCAAATGCCACCCCATCCCAATATCCCATGTGGCAGAATTATCATTCGCCAAAATCGCGAATTAAGCAAGTTTGGTAAGACGTGTTGAGATCTCTCCTGATTGGAGCTCAATGACTAAGAATCTGCACCATTCAAATTAATCATATGGTCCTTATTAACACATTTTATTAGCCCTCTTCACACCAAATAAAGGTTCGGATTTCTCTTGGAACAATCCAAATTTTTTAATCCTTGAGCTTCGAACAATAGGATCTGAAAAAGGATGTACCTTCCAATCGTCATGCCATATTTGGTGAATGTTTGTTTTATTTATCGAGACTTATAATTCAAGTAATTCAAAGCATTCACATATTCGATACCTATCCTAGAATGTCGATCTTGAATCTAAATAAAAAATTGTTTGTTTATTTCTTGGTCGAATAAGCAATCCCCAAATATAAGAGAATCTTGAAATCTCTCTTACAGCTGTTGCTGTAGTAATCAACTGTCGATTGTGTTTTGCCAACCAAAAACACAAAGGGCCAGTTGTGTTTGTCGAAGCCCTCCTCCTTAACCTAAAACCTTTTTCAATTCAGGAAATTTGCTCCGTTGGGTGAGCTTTGGACGGTTCGGAAATGTCAAAACTGTTGAGAGAGAATCCTCCTCTATATTTTCTCTTTGTTTTTTTCTCAAAAGACAAAGTAAGGTGTCTTGTTATATTCTAATTTTTTTTTTCATAAATGGTGATGAAAATTGTAGGATTTGGGTGGAAACATATTCTTATATTCCTATAGATAAATGGAACATATTCTTATTTAGTTGTTTAATGCTTCAAAGGTTGTAGCTATTTGTGCTCCATTCATATAGTTGGATATTGCCAAACTCAAAATGTTAGTTGTCCACGTGTGAATGGATGGCTTTTAACCGTTGATGCATTGTTCGACATACATCAGCATCTAGAAACTTGACCATCCCAAGTAAAATTCAAGTTACATACTCATGGTTGATAAAACACGATAAGGAATCATTGACGTCACCTTAATTCTACAAGTAGCAATTTAGCATCTTCCTTCCTTTCTTCATATTCAAATATCCTGTTAGTGGTGCCCAAAATCTGTTACTAATACTTCAACTATGCCCCAATGTACATACCAACTAAATTAATGTAGCGTTGAATGTGTAGCCAATGATTCAACAATGAATGGTCCAATGACCACAGACGTCAGTGTATAGTACACAGGGTACATACTAGAAAATCTCTTTGTTTACAACCTCAACTCTCGTATAATGGAGGACGAGGGGGGTTGACCCAGCTTGAACACAGTATCGACGTGTGTCCCATGCTGTTTCTACGAGTCACCAAATCATAGCATGCATCGGATGTGCCAAATGACCTAATGGTCGGACGGACATGCAGAGGAATAAGGACCACTACTCTTACTTGGGGGAGGAGCCTCCCTCCCTTCTAATCATAGTGGGGGGAAGTTTGGTATTGCTGTACTTTAAAAAAAAGCTACTTTTGTTGTGCTGTGAAAATAAGCAGCTGTGAAATAAAGTAGCAGAGTGTTTGGTAAATTTTTTTGTAAAAGTGCTTTTGAAAAAAAAAACAGTATTATAGTGTTTGGTAAACTTTTATGTAAAACAGATGTGAAAAAAGCCGGTTTTTCAAAGTTGGGTTTTGCAGCTTCTTGTTTTTGGCTTTTTTTCATCCAAAACTGTGAAAAAAAACTGAAACTGAATGTTTACCAAATACAAAAACAGCTCATAGATTTTTTTTATACCAGTTTTTTTTTAGAATCACCTCAGTACCAAACCAGGCCTAAATGAGGCCATCTCAAGCTGCAGACATTATGGCATGGCACGACTATTTCAACCCCAATCAAACAGATATAAGAAAGTACATACTTTAATTTATGTGGCTAACAAAGTTATAAGAAAATCTATGCGTGACACCACTAAAAATCGGGATAGATTGAACCTAACAAAAATTCTACTATGATCCCGTGTATAAGCATATCAAGAACTTGCATCTCTCTTTCTCATGATGCGCAATAACACGTGTAAATGGCGGTGCGCACGTGCAAACGACTCAGCTCTCAAACTTCAAGCATGTGAAATGCGAGTTGCGACATGGATAATATTACAACTCCTCCTTCTAATGGAGAACAAAATGGTCGAATAGTGTGAAATTATAAACATACACATAGCGTAATACTCCAAGCAATCAGCTAGATCTTTAAACGTAGTGTAAAACTTCAAGTCGTTATTTCAGGTCTCAAGTATATACATGGACACATTTCTTTTGGTGGTTTCTATCGCTGAATTTCGTTTCAAATAGTAACAGTAAAGCTATAACCGTTACAATTAACAAAGATACAGGGTCTATTCAGCTATATACGTCTGTAAAAGTGCTTGTAATGAAAAATAAAATTACAATCCACCAAAAATTAGTGAATGACCGCAACAGGAACAGGAAGCCTCCGACTGATGCTCCGCGTGGAAATCACGAAGTGAGTTCTAACATACCTTACAACTCCTCCTACAGTAGCCAGGAAGGTCGGGAGTTCCAACCATATACTCTCGGTTCTTGGTGCATTCCCCAAGGGCAGCCCATCTCTCACAACTCTCATTCAGATCTCCACAGTTCCCGCCAGCATCCAAGTTCTTGTCAAATGAGTCAACATGAATCCACTTCGTTGCTGACCATTTCTCACCTTCAATCACTGGGCAACCCGCATGGAGACTGTTCGGGTCTGGAACAGCATGTGGGGTGAGACTGAAGAAAAGAAGGGCATCTCCTCGTCGTGGTTTCACTGAATATTTCCAAGGTGAAGAGAGAAGCAACAGAATACATCAACTTTTCTGCAACAATTTCTATATTTTGATAAAAGCTGTATTAATTTATAATTTTATATAGAGCTTACCTGCAATTCCTTTCTTTGCACACTCAGAGAGACTGTGATCTATTTCTGCAGCCTTACGGCGTGAAGGTATCTGCAGCCAGAGTGGTTTACAAAAATAATTATTAACAACATTAACTAAAGCATACAATCAAGCTGGTAAAAACTTCTTTATACTCTACTACCCAACCCCGTCTCAAGACTCGCAACCAATTAACAGAACTAGTAATTTTTTTTATCTTACTTTCTATGCCTCCGTATCCTTTTAGTTTTTCATAATTTTTATAATAGACAATTGTTGAAAGAACTATAACCATTACCAACATTTTTGCTAATTCAAATGCAAAATAGAACAACGTAATGCAGATTCACGAGCACGTCAGTCATGCTAATATTACCAATCCAAGAGCAGCCAGGGGTGGCTTATGAAAATAAATCTTCCAGGATACAGATTAGATGATCCCCATGTTGTTAGGCAACTATCACATAGAAATTCTGGTAACACTAATCTGTTCAATGGTGCTCGAGTTAGCTCAATAAAAATTACAGAATCCAGGAGGTGAATAATGCAGCTAACCTCTGCTTCAGGGAACACAGTTTCACCACCTTTGGCCACATCAGTGAGATACATCAGTACAGTTGCTAAGCGGTGTCCACCCCTAGCAATATTGACCTTGTCGACAAAGTAATCATAGTGTGGTGCATATTTCTGCCCAGGTTCATATCTCAATACTTGTATGTCTTCACCATTTTCTGAAAGTCAAGAAACAGATATCACATGTAAGATTGCCCCAGCAATGAACACGAAAACGTTTTTTAAATTTTCATCACATCATTCTTTCTTTCTCAATCCAATATTTGCAATGCTCGGTTTTTGATGTTGGAAGAATAGATAACCTCTGAAATCTTACAAACATGGCTCTCCAAACATTCAAGCTAGTATCTGTTTTTCCCATGTTCACCCAATTCAGTAGCAGTAACAATATTACCAAGAATTATGCTTGTCGTATTTTGATTATCTTCCCTTATTTATACTTGGTTTTCACTTCAATCTTCTTCATCAAAACATCTAAACACCAATTATAAGCAAAGAAGGAAAAGAAACATATCGTATTGCTAAAATCTAAATATATGGCCCTGTCAATGCAACATACGAGGACCTCAATAAAAGGATAACAATTTTGATCCATGATTCGACAAGGTATGGCTGCGAATATTAATTGTATTATTCAAAGTTAACTACCTGTTAAAGGTTACAAGAAAAGAACAATACAAACAGTATTCTTCTGCAAAGGGTTTACCTTTTGGAAGAAATGTCCATGTTGCAAGCTTGGCCTCAATACCAGCAACAATAGGATCCTACATAACAAATTTAAATTGTAAAAAAACACATTTGATATACATCCATACGTTGGTGACTTGCAATCCAATTCATGACCGATGATCATCTCGTCAACAATCAAACATCCACGGCGTGTCTATATACACACATTTTTAATGTAATCAATGCACTTCCGGCTAAAACGCAAAATTGCCGGTAATTAGCAAAGCCTAACAAAAGTGGTATATATAGTTAAGGAACATATGCATATGATATAAAAATGATGAGAAATGGAAAAGGGAAGGAGAAAAGAAGCAGAGACCTTGGCCTTGGGAATGAACATTCCGGAGCTGGTCCGGACCTCGCTGAGCTTGCTCTGACCGGACAAGTTATCGGCGACGGCGGATCTCTTCAGCTCCGATTTCGCCTATTCACAATGAAATCAAACACATTGATAAAAGCGTGAGAGAAAAAAAAAATCAGAATTGAATAAATTAAAAGATTGAAATGCGCGTAAACTCACGATGGAGATCAAGTGATCGCACTCGGCGTCCGTCAGCAGACCTTCGTAGACGAAAGCTCTGCAAATTGATCATCCAATCCAATCACATCAATCCAATTCCAATCGAAAAATTAAAAACAAAACACTGTTAGTTTAGAGAGAGTGGGAAAGAGAGAGACCTAGGGTTCCATGAGATCTGTTTGACTCTGGACGGATTGACGGTGAAGGTGGAAGCAGAAGAGGAGGTGGAGCAGATTGAGAGCAGGAAGAAGAAGAGGAGGAGGAGGTGAAGGCAAACCCTAGTCATCACTGCTCGGTCGGATTCTCAATCTCTGAGATGGACAGAGACAGACCGTGTCAATGTCAATTGAATTTCCAATCCCGATCCTAAATTCCTAACCCATATCTCAGTGCAGTGCTGCTGTTAACCACCTGTGGCTGCCGCCATGCATTTTTCATCTTAGTTTTAAGTTCACTGTTTCTTATATCTATTTTTACTTTTCACACGTTACCGTGTTAATTTTTTTATCATAATTTTCTCTACTTCATTTGATTCGACTGCCGAGACATGATTTTCCACTTTAAAATCTTTGTCCACTAGGGCAATATTTATTTACTTACAATTGTTCTGCTTTTTCTTACGTTAACAAACACACACATACAAAATAAAAAATATGTATAGTTTTTGTATTACAATACATAATCTGATACTGAGAAGTTAAAAATTAGTTTCGTTAAGAGGGTAGTTAATCATATTCTCACTTCTATACATGACATTTTTTTCTCCATCTACATAAGCATGTTATAACGAGCAATGTCATTAATTACATGTTTACCTATGATCAACTATTTTTCGTAGTCAATCTAATTCTTATGATCAACTATTTTCCTTAGTCAATCTAATTCCTCGTTTTTCGAATATCAAATAAGGAATTGTGTTATTAAATACACAAGAAACCAACAATCATAAATCAATTCTCATTTCAAGTAAGTAAATATTTCATAAGTTTACAACAAAAATTCTAACTTGAGATTTGTGGCTAATGTTTCATGTTTGTTAAACTGTTGTGTTGGTTAGGTAAATCATATTTTTGCGATCTCATTTTATGATAGGTGATAAATTTATGAACAATTGAAGATAATAATTAAGCTTGAAACTAAATTGATTCCCCAAATGAGAGTTTCATTAATTCAAATATAGATTTTTTGTGTGAAATAGCAAAGCATAGTGCATAACCACTTCAAAGTCATGTAACTCGTAACTTTGGTATCTGAAATTTAAAATCAATGAAAATTGTTTCAAAGATTGTTCATTGTTAATCATTTTGGACTTCCATGAAAAATCTCTGTGAAATTAAATAAACCATCAGTTCAAGTGAAGAGGTTGATTTGACAAAAATACCCTCAAATTAATGTAGATTTTTTATAAAATGATCAAAATGATTGACGATAGAAAAGGTCACTTATATCTGTTTTAAGTCTCAAGAACCAAACTTAGGAGTTATATCAATTTCAAATATTATTTTAAATTAAAAAAACCCAATAGAAAACATTGTCCGTTTAATTGTGTTTTGACAATTTTACCCATATTTTTAATGCTCTTTCCTCTTTAATCTTTTTCCTCGAGGGTTTTCTGATTCGAATGAGAGATTTTTTCAGCATGATCGGCACACGAGGTGGTATATCATGTGTCACTATACATTTGGGATACGTGTCACTTAAACTGTCTGGTTTTCGGGTGATCGTTTTCTGCTTCTGAAACTGTCTAGCATTTTTGGTCCGTGGATGGATTTCAGCGCAATGTGAATCTGGCCTTAAGAAACAAATTCAACCACCCCAACACCCCATACATAGAAAGTTGAGGCCTCATTAGAAGTGCCCAAGATAAACTCCAGTTGTTTCTCTCTATCACTTAAACTCTTGGTTGAGTTGTAGTCATCCGCATCCAAGAGCTCCTCCGAATACGTCCTTTGAAGTTTAGACTTTTGACGTTTTGTAGCGTACTCCAAACCGCCTTCATCGCTTTCTAAAATTTCAACAAAATTAAAACAAAACGCAACACAAACTTGTTAGTTAAGTTATGACCAAAAAAAAACTTGTTAGTTAGGTCATCACATATATTGGCACTGTAAAATCAAACTTGTGAGCAGTCATTGCTAGAAATAATTACATGCCTGGCTCATTTGCGGTCGATTCACTGAAGACTGGTGTACACAAAACGAAGCAGTTAACGCAAGATGTTTCATTTCTTTCAAATCATAGGCATTGCAGAGGTTTTGGATTAACAAACACAAATGTGCCTTCGAATTTCTATACAACATGGTGAGTCCATGAATCTGGTAGCCATTTTGCAAGCCCAAAATCAGATATCTGGATTCAAATTGGAGTAACAGAGAATTATTAGCGCAATGCAGCTTTTTGAAAATCCTTTATAGCAATTGATCAAAAGAGGGTGTACCAGAGGCTCAAAATCCTCTGCCAGCAAAATATTAGAAGCCTTAATATCTTTGTGAATAATTCTCCTCTGGCACCCCTCATGAAGATACAGAAGGCCCTTAGCCGTCCCTAAAGCGACTTTATATCTGACGCCCCAATCCAGATTCTCTCTAGGTCCTAGAAAACACACGACGAAGAAACAAAACCAATGAGTCGCTTGTTTGTGAAATTGGAAGAAATTCCGCTGTGCAAAAGATGAATTCACAATGATAAACAAACCGTAAAGTATAGACGACAGGCTTCCATGGGGAGACAAATGTAGAACAAGATGCATCCCTCCATCAACCCCATAGCCAATCAATTTCGCAATATTGGGATGGTCAACATGAACTATGACACCAAGCTCAGATAAGAAGTCTGCAGTCATTTCTTCTTGAGTACCGCGATTCAGGCATTTGATCACGACAATCTGCCCATCTTCCAATGTTCCCTTGTAAACGTCAGCATAGCCTCCCTCCCCGATCAAGTTCTCTTCAAGAAGACAAATCTAAAAGTTTTATGAGCATAAAGTGACAACCTTTCTAGAAGATCATGATTCTAGCGATATACGACTAATGCAATGTAATTGCTCTAAAGAAATGTGAGTACAAACCGTGGCTGAAGTTGTTGGTTGCGGCTTGGAGCTCTAAGAGTGAGTAATTCTTCCAGGAAGATTTGAAGCAGCAAAAGTCAGCATCGAAAGACCTAGGGGCAGGAGAGTTGGGCTGTGGAATGAATTCCTCTCTTATTCTTTTGGTTTTCTTTCTGGTGAGTTTTGGTTTTTGAGCACCTTTAGGAGGGAAGGTTGGGAAGGGATTCTGGGGTCCTTTTTTCAACATGCCAAAAAAACCGCGCCCGTGATGGTTGGCTCTTGGATTCGAGTCTGAAGTAGTACTGCTGCCTCTTCCATCCGAGTCTGAAGTGCTGGCCTTGGGAGAAGATGTTTCGGATCCTAAGCTTCTCGGACAGTATTCATCCTCGGAAACTCCTCTTGAAGAGGGCTCATCTATTGAGACATTCTCATCCAAATTTAATGATCTCAAGTCTATCATGACAAATCCCAAAAGAATTAGAACCACATTGCTATCTATCTGCAATATTAGTAAAAGAATACGAAACAAATTTGTTACCTTGACTTGAAAAAGAGCCGGAGAATCCAGCTCGCGCTCTTCTTGATCCTCCGAGAGCAGAAGGCTTTGTTGTAGCCTCAGCTTCTTCATTGTCTTTGGCCGTTTCGCGGGAACCATTGCTGCCCATACGAAGCAATATGTCAGCAAAGAACAGAAAATATGCCAAAATCTAACAGATTAAGTAACCTAAAGAGCAAATTCAGCCAAACCATGGTAGTATTACTAGTACCGACCATCCGAGTGGGGAGGGAAATGGGAAGAGAAGGGCCACAGAATATGACACATGCATAAATAAATATCTCTAGATATATAGAATCAAATAAATGATTTGTGTATGGATTATAGAAGAACCGTTGAAACATCATCTCTTGAGGAACAGGGAAATTATTCAAGCAAAAAAAAAATAAAAACCTGAAAACAAAAACAAAAAATTCGAAAGTGACATTTTTAACCAACAAAACCATGTGCAAATGAATAACGTAACAACAAAACCATAATGCTTAGCTCCTCGCATATAAGAAACAAACCATAGTCAGACATTATACAAAGATATAAACCACAAAATAAACAATCAGACGTAGACGTAGTCACATTGGCTAGAATGGATGTGCTACCTTATGCAATTTAAGTTGTCTTAAAGCAAAATGTCACTTGTATAAAAAAAACGTCAAGAAAATTTTCTACACACAAGTGACATTTTGATTTGTTTGCAAGGAGGAATGACTTGTATTTTTACCCTAATGAACGCAATGTGACAAGTAAATGCGACCTCCTAGGATAGACATTCAGAAACGAAAATTTTACCATTGCAGGATGAGAGTTTGAAAAGCTTACTACTTAGAGACAAAAGCCGCCAAACCAGAAGCTATGATCTGAAAAGCAGGCACGGAGGCGACCATGAAGAAGTTTCTGGTTCAGATTCTGGGGCATCTTCCATGAATTCTCAGAGGCTGCCACCAACCAACGAGAGCCGCTGAAGGTTTCAGAAGCCAAAGGAAACGACATACCACACACACAGAAACCTAGAGGGAGAAAATCAAGAGAGAGAAAGCAAGAGAGAGAAAGCAAGAGAGAGAGAGAGAGAGAAATGGAAAATAGTGGCTGCCATGATTTTTCCGTTTTTTCCCTCTAAATATTCCTGCATTTTTGGACAATCAGCGACTATTAATGCCCAAAAAATCGGCTTTTAATTGTTATTGGCACAGCGTTAATTAGCTTCTTAATCCAGTCGATGTGATCTGTCTTAAACTCTTAAATAAATAGAAATAACAACGTGTAATTTTTGCATGTTTGTGAAAAGGTTTTGCAAGCAAGCAAGCACGTATGGTTATGGATATTCCCAAACACCTACAGTTTACATGTCTTCTGGGTCTTTGACACGTGGCAATAATTAACAATCAACGGTCTGAAACGAGGGAGGGGGTATTCAGTAGAATGTGTTGTGCGTGGGGGAAAAAGACTTGTATGACACAGGTATATCGTCACAATAGTGTTCCGTTCTAATAATACAAAGACATATGTTAGTTTCTTTCTACGTATCATTATTTTATTGAACGCCAACGGTATACTCGTGTCATACAAATTGCTCTCATGCGTAGGACGGACAAGTCATGTGGTCTAGAACTTGGATGCGTGTAGCAAAGTTTTTCTCTTCATGTATCTTATTGGCCTAAAAGCTTATTAAGACTTGTCTTAATTTGACATAAGCATGAGATGATAATGTTTCTCTCGTCTACTAAATTTATCCCTCGTACTGTTTAGTATTGACAAAGAAATCACCTCTTAATAATGCCTTATCCTATCAATTCGTCACGTTGTTAATTTTATATGAATAAACCATAGTACACTCAAAAGGATGCACTACGTTAATTGCCGAAAGTACAATTTCAAAAGCATTTCTTGACGTGAACTTGTGAAAAGCCAATCTTCAGGGAAACAACATCACTTACCTCATGGATGGACTCTAACGTAAGTAATATCAGGTCGTTTAACGTACCACTGAGTGATACGAGATACGCAAGATTTAACCAATAGTACTACTCAAAAGTACGTAATTTCGCAAAGTTACTAGTCATACAGTTAAGTAGCAGGAGTTCAAAGAATGGTTTCAGACTTCCAGTACACGTTGAATTTGCATTTAATTACAGCCAAAAAACAGATTAAAGTGGTAAAACTGGCTTTTACAAGATTCAAATTGTCAATTTAATGGACATTGCGGCTGATTAATCCTTCAAAAATAGCATATAGGTCCTTGTTATGTGGCCCAAATATCTCATCCGCCTTCTGTAGCGTCTCCTGAAATTTTGCACAACAGTCACTCAAGTGGTAATGGAAAACTTAAAAATGAACATACGCTGAGCAGAGGGAGAGAGCGAGGATGGAAGGAAGGACATACCTCTTTTGTTTGCTTGTTTCCCGTTTAGTACCTTAACATTTGCCAGTAATGCACCAAACTGCTCGTAAGACAGACGACTCCTTGGGGGAAAAGAAATAAAAGATCAACGGTGAGAATAAACTTCCTCAACAATAATAGTTTGAATAGCAAAGGAAAAATAGTTTGTAAACTGGATGCAGGCCAAACCCGAAATTTTGGATTGTGGTACTGGTAGTAAATTTTCGGTCTTTGAGACTCAAGAACCGATTCCATACCTTATGACCGTATCAATTAGTAACTAAGAAAATTGAGATGGCAACCCATCAGGCTTATTCCTTGCGCAGCTCATAAGCATTCATGGCCAGTTACTTGGAAGTTACTTAGAACTACTTGAAATATTCGTAGTAAGCTGCTAGTTTTGGCAGTGAATGAATTGTAAACCTGGTTCAATTGAATTAAACCTCGTAAAACAACCTAAGCGATGTGGGGTTGTTCTGCGTTATTACTTACGAAGTGCATGCAACTGGAGATACCTAGTCAGAATTAAATTTTTGACTATCTCAATATTCTTCAGACAAATTTCTGTAACTTGTTCTTTCCCACCAGATTCAAATTCAAGATTTAATCAGCGACTTTACCTGACTTGACGGAAAAACTCTTTCCCATCCACCCTAGTTCTTCCTGAAACAGATTAAGAGAATCAAATAACCATACACATTAACTATGACCAAATTATTTAACATTGTTGCAGGGTGACACCGCATGCATCCTACCTAAAAAATTATTTGAACCGTGATTAAACATTTTCTACAGAAGGTTCTCGAGCTAACCACGTTCCGAGCTGTGATGGCTTGAGGGCGCAGACGATCTGTTATCAAAAATGCCTCTTGAAGTGCCGAAGGACATGGAGTGTCGCTTTGGAGACACAGGTTTCGATGTTCTTGTCGGTGATGTGGATGCAGAATAGATAGGAGGAGAACCAGGGGGAGTGAGCCGAGGTGTGCTAGTTTGGGATGCTAACATGACACTGTGTGCTATGCGAGCTCTTGAGGCTGCCATTGCAACAAGAAAACGCAAGAAAATTAAATTTGACATGTTAACAAGTTCTTCACTATAAGCATAACTGAAAGCAATTTTTTCGTGACCAAGATCTTAATTCAAACCGTACCATCTGTGTCGCGATCCTCATGAAACGTACTTCCTGCTTCAGAAAATGTGCTTTGGACTGAAAATGTGACATCACCTTCTGAAATTACTGTCAAGTTAGGGTTTTGTTGTACATTGCCATTTAAGCAGAGAACCAAACGATAGAGCAAATGAAGTTGGCCCAAAAAAAATAAAAAAGATATAATAAGTAACAAACAAAAAATGTAGTCACATTCTAATGGTTAATTTTTTTCCATGATTTACAGGATAACAACATAATATATAACTGTTTTATGACAACGGTTAATTTTTTCCTATGATTTTGTTTGGACTTGATTTTACACCATCGGCCCAAGTGATCGATGCCGTTGAGTAAGGATGATTCTTAATCGTCGGATAAGAAAGTTACAATAATTTTGTTGTTGTTAGAGGATAATATTATGATTTTTAATCATGATAATTATCTTCTAATAATGAATTATCTTGACACTTTTCTTGTACGAGATAAATGTGACTCAAACTATATCGAAGAAAGCAAAATAGTTCAATTTAGTTTGGGATTCTTAGCATTCAACGCGGGATTGAGCATCATGCATTATAAAAAGAGTCTTAGCATGTGGTGGCATCAGTTGGTAACCAAGGTGGAGTCCAACTTGAATGATTAATTACGTGAAGTAAGCCATTGTCACTACTAGAAATTTCCACTTTGCCGACAAAATTAGTTTGTCGGCAAAAGTCAAAATTCGTCGGCAAATAGCCTTTCCCAACGAAAAATTTTGTCGGCAATTTTGTCGCTAAAAGCATGTCGCGCAAGATCTTTCTCGACGAATCTTGATATTTCGTCGGCTCATTTTTAAGGCAACAAATCTCAGCCAACAAACTGTGCCCGTCACCAAAACGACATTGCGACAAAATATTTTGTCAACATAGGTTGTTTTTTCGCGATGAAGTTATTTGTCGGCTTAATGATCTTGTCGCAACAAAACATTTTGTCAGCTGAGTAATCTTGTCACGACAAAATGGTTTTTCGGCTACGTAGTCCTATGCTAACAAACTGGTTTGTCGGCTCAAATTACTTGTGTAGACAAAATAATTGGTTGGTTGAATCTTTTGTGAACAAAAACATTTGTCGGCTAATTATTTTTGTGCCGACAAAACATGCCAAGTCCAATGTTTTCTAATTTTTATTCGCATTTGTTTTTAACAATATTTTTAACCATCACAAACAAGCAAGCTTAAGAGATCAAGAAGGGGCGGGAATGAAGAATTAATGTAGGAACAACACAAAATTCTTGTAATATAAGCTAATGTAAGGTTCACAATTCGGTTCAGTAACAAAATACAAAAATATCTATGTTTTCATTTCAACATTACTATAATATAGATAAAATATCCTTGAGTATGACCATTCTCACTATAGTCCTCATCACGTTGATATGCAGCATCACTAAATCAGGAAACGATGAGGATCATCATGAAACATTCCAGAATATCAAACAACTGTGGAAGAAAGACAAATTAAAAAAACTTGATTAGCAAACATTAAGGGTGCTAAATATCATTGACATTAAGGAAACGCAAGGCCACACTAGAGTGGTATTTCTAAAAAAAATAACTTATGAAACCATAAATGTGTAAACAACAAGATAAAGATATCTACTAATCATGTTAACTTACCAACGCCCTGCAGCATCACAACCTAGCAAAATTACATGTTTAATAGATACCAGGTAATAATCAAGTTAGCATCAACTACTTATATGTCATTCATCACTGTAAACAACAAGATAAACATTATTAACAGCAAGGCAACATGATTCTCACACTCTGTAAACAAGGCAACATGATCATCTGGTCTTTATTACATGTCATATAAGAAAGTAGAGAGGACATATTGAATTTTTTCTTTGTTATTTTCTACTTTACTACTTTTTTAATGTCATTATGTTACTAAGTTATCTTGTAAATGCAATTCAATATTTTCTTTGTTTCACTTAGTTTATGTGTTTCTTAGGTTTGAAGAGTGAAGATGAAGAAAGAAGAAAACAGAGCACTTTTTCGATTGAAATGAGTTTAGTATCCTGGAAGTAGGAACTGACTGTGCAGGTCAGCCAACTTTATGAGCTAAACTGCACTTCCTTAGAAAGAACCAAGTGTTGAGCCTTATACCATTGGAAAGATATGGAAGTTAGCTTTCAGAGGAATTTTACAGTTCATGATTCCGATTTCTGTAGAAGACGTTATAGCGATTTTTGTACAGGACGTCTGTCCTTACGTGGTATTTGCAAGGTGATTTCGGATTTACAAGTTTTAATTAAAGAAAACGTGCAAAGCAAAAGGAGAGCTTCTATAAGAGTATAAGACTATCCTAAAAGGTTCAGAACTATTATTTTTATGGTTTTGGTGTGCCACATCATCAACATTCCAATTCAAATAACGAGAGAGTTAGAGAAGTCATATTCAAGCAACGATTTGAGAATTTATTCAAGAGAAAAAGAAGGAAATAGGGAGAAACTTTCGAGACTAGGAGTAGTAGTCTTAGCAAGTAAATCATAAGTAGATGATATAAATCCTTGAAAGGTCTATAATTTATATAAACATAACAATACCAATCACCTAGCTAAGTAGATTATAACTCTAGAACATAAGCATATGCACCTGAAAACATAAATAAACTATACTAAAGCATCCTAATTCATCACTGTTTATAATCTTTATCAGTGTAAACAAGAAGATATAGACACCTACTAATCAAGTTAATCCTCAAATATCAAAATTACCTGGCGTGAATGATACTCACACTGGTCTCCATGCTGTGCTGATACCAGTTGTAAGCTATCTAGCCCAGAATTCCACTTAGCCATAGACAACCTGCAAGTGTTATAGAAAGGAAAAACAAATATTATACAAATGGATGCCCAAATCAACCAAAAATTGGAAACCTAGATCATAAAACTCGAACCGAAATAGTTTCATCCATAAATACGATTCAATCAAAGCAAATACAATTATTTCATTTTCCAATAAAAACATGGAAAACGAAAAAAAAAAACTAATGGCATATATATATCAGGGACAAACAGTTGCAGAGGCGTGGATTATACCTTTTCATCTTGGATTTGAGAACTTGGTGTCGTCTTCGATCTGGAGGCTTCTACACAGAGAATACATCATAAGACAGTCATCTTCTATTTTTCTTTGATCTACTATGATCGGAGATGAAATTAAAAGTAGAAGGTGAGAAAATTTTACCTGTGAGTGTGTCTGCACCAAGATCAGGAGGTTTGGGATCCTGACTTGCCCGGCTGAGCCCAATTTATGAAGAGCAGTGAAAATGGAGGGGCGGATCTGACCATGGCGATGGAGATTCTGTGCATGCTTCTGATTCTACATCGCACCTGCAAAACGGCCGACAAATTAATGCAGCGGTGGATCGATAGTGAAAGACGACGGAGGGAAGAGTGAAGTCGGGCTGTCTACGACAACTCGAACGGATCGAAATTTGATAGAAATCCTTAGAAGCCGGAGTCGGCGACGCCTGATCTGGACATCATGAGCTGGTCTCGTGAGTCTGGGTTTGGGAGATGAGGATTAGGTGTGGATTTGTGTTTTGTTGGAATGGATCTCTTGGGTTCTTGAATTTTCGGTGGTGGGCAGCAAGCGACATGAAGAGGAGGCCGTGGATTGCGACAAAGCGATGGAGAGAGAGAAGTTGCGAGAGTTTGAGAAATGAAGGATGGAGGCTAGGCATTTGTTTCTGAAAGAGGAAAGCAGAGAAGTTGTGGGAGAGAAATGAAAAGGAGGAGAGAGCGCGCGGTTCTCTTTGGAAATTTAGTTTTTAGGCGCCACGCCAAAATTTTGGCAGCCCGCCAAAAACACTTTTATGATTTAATTGCTAGATTAAATTCAACGGTAAGGATTTAATCTCACATATGTAAGATTAAATCTTATAGCTAATCTAACCGTCAAACTTATTTGTATATACTTCAAGATCGTATACGTAAAAATTTGCAAAAAACTAGCATTCAGATGCTAGGTAACCGAATGAAACATTTTGACGGTTATAAACGAAAACTCACGATTTAATGATTATTTTAACTTCGATTTTGATGATTTTTTACAAATACACTCCTTAACCCTATAAGAGTACGATGAACCAATTCAATCTTCAACTTAAAATACTTGCACTAGTTGATACCACAAAATATTATGTTCTACTTAATGAAAGTATAAAATAAGCTCCAAGTGTTTACTGAATCTTTCGTTTTAAAGGGATACACATTCTACAAAACTAGTTTCAAAGATCCAACCGTCAAACTTATTTGTATATGCTCCAAGATTGCATATATAAAAAATTGCAAAAACCTAACATTCAGATATTAGGTAACGGGATGAAACCTTTCGACGGTTATAAACGAAACGTCACGATTTAACGGTGATTTTAACTCCGATTTTGATTATTTTTTACAAATACGCTCCTCAACCTTATAAGAATACGATGAACAAATTCGATCTTCAATTTAAAATATTTGCACTAATGGATACCACAAAATATTATGTTCTACCTAATGAAAGTATAAAATAAACTCCAAGTGTTTGTTGAATCCATCGTTTTGACGGAATACACATTCTACAAAACTACTTTCAACGATCCAACCGTCAAACTTGTTTGTATATGCTCCAAGATCGCATACGTAAAAAATCGCAAAAAAATGACATTCAGATATTAGGTAACGGGACAAAACCTTTCGACGGTTATAAAAGAAAACTCACGATTTAACAGTTATTTTAACTCCGATTTTGATAATTTTTTACAATTACACTCCTCAACCATATAAGAATACTATGAACAAAATTCGATCTTCAATTTAAAATATTTGCACTGATTCTACTTAATGGAAGTATAAAATAAACCCCAAGTGTTTGTTGAATCTATCGGTTTGACGGAATACACATTCTACAAAACTACTTTCAACGATCCAACCGTCAAACTTGTTTGTATATGCTCCAAGATCGCATACGTAAAAAATTGCAAAAAAAACAGACATTCAGATATTAAGTAACGGGACGAAACCTTTCAACGGTTATAAACGAAAACTCACGATTTAACGGTTATTTTAACTCTGATTTTGATGATTTTTTATAGCTACACTCCTTAACCCTATACGAGTACAATGAATGAACTCGATCTTCAATTTAAAATATTTACACTAGTGAATACCACAAATCGTATGTTATACTTAATAAAAGTATGAATAAACTTTTCAGTGTTAGTGAATCTATTATTTTGATGGGATACGCATTCTACGAAACTAGTTTCAACGATCCAACCGTCAAACATGTTTGTATATACTTCGAGATCACATACGCCAAAAATTGCAAAAAAAAAAAACATTCAGAGATCAAGTAATGGGACAAAATTTTTCGACGGTTATCAATGAAAAATCACGATTTAACGGTTATTTTAACTCCGATTTTGATGATATTTTACAGCTACACTCATTGACCCTATACGAGTATAATGAATGAACTCGATCTTCGATTTAAAATATTTACACTAGTGAATACCACAAATCGTATGTTATACTTAATGAAAGTATGAATAAACTCTTCAGTGTTAGTGAATCTATTATTTTGATGGGATACGCATTCTACGAAACTAGTTTCAACGATCCAACCGTCAAACATGTTTGTATATACTTCGAGATCACATACGCCAAAAATTGCAAAAAACAAACATTCAGAGATCAAGTAATGGGACAAATTTTTTCAACGGTTATCAATGAAAAATCACGATTTAACGGTTATTTTAACTCCGATTTTGATGATTTTTTACAGCTACACTCATTGACCCTATACGAGTATAATGAATGAACTTGATCTTCGATTTAAAATATTTACACTAGTGAATACCACAAATCGTATGTTATACTTAATGAAAGTATGAATAAACTCTTCAATGTTAGTGAATCTATTATTTTAATGGGATACGCATTCTACGAAACTAGTTTTAACGATCCAACCGTCAAACATGTTTGTATATACTTCGAGATCACATACGCCAAAAATTGCAAAAAACAAACATTCAGAGATCAAGTAATGGGACAAAATTTTTCGATGGTTATCAATGAAAAATCACGATTTAACGGTTATTTTAACTCCGATTTTGATGATTTTTTACAGCTACACTCATTGACCCTATACGAGTATAATGAATGAACTCGATCTTCGATTTAAAATATTTACACTAGTGAATACCACAAATCGTATGTTATACTTAATGAAAGTATGAATAAACTCTTCAGTGTTAGTGAATCTATTATTTTGATGGGATACGCATTCTACGAAACTAGTTTTAACGATCTAACCGTCAAACATGTTTGTATATACTTCGAGATCACATACGCCAAAAATTGCAAAAAACAAACATTCAGAGATCAAGTAATGGGACAAAATTTTTCGACGGTTATCAATGAAAAATCACGATTTAACGGTTATTTTAACTCCGATTTTGATGATTTTTTACAGCTACACTCATTGACCCTATACGAGTATAATGAATGAACGCGATCTTCAATTTAAAATATTTACACTAGTGGGAGGGAGATCAGTTAAGAGAAGCCTAATATATAAACCTATGGATAGAAATCGTTAAAATTATTTTTGAGCGGTAAAGACCCCGCCAAGTTTTTTCATAAATAAGAATCCTTATCAAACTGAAATCGGATGGCACGAGAGACTAATATGGGAGGGAAGTCGGGATTAGCATGCAATTGGGAGGGAGATCATGAGGCGACAAAATAGGATTAGCATGCAACTGGGAGGGAGATCATGATGTGAACCGACAATTGGGGGATGTGAACCGATTATGGGAGTCATGTGGCGGCAAAATAGGATTAGGAAGAAATGGGAGGGAGATCATGCAATTGGGGGATGTAGGTTTGGATTGCCTTGGCAAATTTATAAGTTTGTTCTTATAATTATATGTTATGTTTTTATAATGGATGATTACATACAACCTTATTCAAATTTACAATTGTAATTGACTAATTGACTAATAATTGATCATAACCTAAACCAAGTTATCTGTTGCTAGAAAGTAGTTTGGAGTCAGAATTGATAAGAAGAACTTTTTCACTACTTGATCTAGATTTACAGTTTTACAACATACTTTTCGCATCAGAATATTAGTTAGTTTGCATGGAATGTATATGGAAGCGAACATAAAGAGATTGGGTTAAGTTGCAAGACTAATACTGTAAGGAATTTTTTATTTTTCCAAACACTCACATATTATGAAATCAAATTGTCAATATAGATTATTGATGGCATAAAACTACAATCCAGAAATATGAAATGCTAGATATCTCTTTATCTATGCTCCCGTCCGTATAGAGAAACAAGAAAGACAGAATGAGAGCATAAATAGTCGCCAAGAGCTTTGATTGCGTTCCCCGGAAAAAAATGGAAAGGTGCACTAGTGAAAACCTCTCACGTAGAGTTATTATTACCTTGCCGATGACATACTTTATTGCCTCTTTAATCAATTTGCCGATGAAATACTTTGTTGCCTCACATCATCGGCTAATATTTCAATATAACGGGAAAAGTTCCCGCCAAAGTTTACCCGTCAAAACAAAATTTGTCAGGGCATCAAATTTACGCCTACAAAATGATCGTCGGCTAACGTTCCAATTTTTTCGGCTAAGATTGGTGTTATAAATTGATTCTATCGTGAGTATTTAGCCGACAAATTAAAATTTTCGTCGAGAAAGGACTCTTGTGCCGACAAAATTTTGCTTTGTCGGTTTATAATTTGTCGGCAAAATTATATGCCGACAAATTAAAATTTTCGTCGAGAAAGGACTCTTGTGCCGACAAAATTTTGCTTTGTCGGTTTATAATTTGTCGGCAAAATTATATTTTCTAGTAGTGTGTGATGCATGCATGAGATAATTATTAGCAAACTCAAGGCTGCCAAATGAAGTGAATATTTTATGGATAAAGCTTGATATTCCAAGGTTTGAATGACAATGCTTATCTTTACCAAAGAAGGAATTGGCATACCAAGCTTTGTTACGTGGTTTTGGCTAAAATGCGTGGTTAGCACCAAAGACGTTGAGTGCCACGACTTTCATTGGATAATCATCATCTCCGCGTAAATTATTATTTGTGGAGATTGATGGTCACAGATGGATTTTGCGCTAAGTTAGTTTTATAAATACAAGACATCATGCAACAATTGAAGGACCTTCAAATTCAGCATACAATTGCCCTGCGCAAAACCTCTCAAACACCTTGAGATTTTTCTTTTCTTTTCTTTTCCTGCCGACACACCTTCAGTTTGGATAAACAGCACTGTGGAAGCACCCGGCGAGCATCTTCAGTTTGGATAAACAGCACTGCTGCCGCAGAATCAGCCGACCAAGGAGCACCTTCAGTTTGGATAAACAGCACTGCGTCGGGGTCGACCGATTATCTATCTAAGTCTCGGCCGAGAAGGGTTTTCGAACCCTTGTTGGTAGAGGTCATCTTACTAGCCTTTTCGGCATAGTTGGGTGTTACGAGTTGTATTGCTCGGCGTCTTGAACGCCAAGTGATTTTATGATTGAATACTCGCAAGTAGGTTTCAGGGTCCTGCATTCCAACGGCCGAACTACGTTTACCATCAAGACATACATCACATTCGAGTACCTGTGCCCATATAGTTTAGTCTCAATTCGGCGTGCTTATACTCTTACGAATATAATCACAGTGACCGAATCAGGCTCCGACGATTTGTGAACTCCGTCGAATTAGTAGCTTTGTCTTCAGGCTATAGAACTCAGAGACTGAGAGCGTTCCTTCCTCGGTCGCAATCGCAAGATACAGAAGTCAACAGCGCGCTCAACGCGACAACATCAAATTTTACTCCTCGGCCAAGCTCGGCCGACGAGTTGGCACGCCCCGCATTCAACCGAATGACGTAGTTAGCTTATTAGTTACTCGGCCTGCGCGCCACGTAGGTTTTGTAATTTTTAGAGTCAACAGATTTACAATCTAACATCATAACATAACTGTTTTACGACAATGAATTGCACGTACGATTAAAACAAAAACTAGGACGAAAAACTTAAAATTAAGATTTGGGGATAACAAACCTCCATGTCCAACATGTGGTCTAGAAGACAAGTTCTCTTCGGCTTGTACAGTATTAGAAGGATTGGCAACAACCTCTGAAGCTCCACTCTGTGTCACAAAATCCAATCCAACATATCGAATTAATTAAAATAATTAAAAGCAGAAACGTAATTAAATAAAATTGACAAATAAAATTTGCCACAGGATTTTCTTCATCCTCTGCAAGTGATCGCATAAGCGCCTTTCTGAACACCTGCAGCTGCGCACATTAGCAAACTAAGCTCAGTCTAAGCAGAAAACGGCGCCGTTTCAACCTCGGCAAAAATTCAGTTACCTTCGATACATCTTTGTTCAGCTTCCTCACTGTGTTAGAGAGTACGGCCCTCTCCTTCACCAATCCCTCCTGCAATTTCGGAACCGAAGTCAAATTTAGTCAACGCATTCACTGAAACTGAAGCGGTTTAAGATTTGTGGGTCGGGTTGGGGCGGGTCGGACCTTCTCCTGGTCGCGAGGGCGAGTTTGTCGGCGGTCTCGGGGAGAGAGGCGTCGAGGGACTCCACCTGGGATTGGAGGTCGGCTATGATCTGGTCCTTCTCAGCGAGCTTCTTGAGCAGAGCGGACGACTGTGATTCCAGGGCCGAGACACGTGTCGAGATAGCGAGGGACTTGATTTTGCGGGCCACATCGAGCTGTTCTAAAGGATCCGACGGCAGTAATTCCAACACTTCCACGGGAAGGTCGAATTCCGAACTGCCCGATTCCTTCGCAAGCATCTCGCCTTTTCCTTTGTTTTTTTGTTTTTTCGATTTTTTTTCAACTTTTTTGTTTTTTAATTAGATATTGGTTGATTTGATTGGAGGGAAACGTGTGGTTTGGTGATTGGATAGGGTTTTGAGAACAAGAGACAAACGTGTACACTGGTACAGTTTGAGGAGAGAGGATCCTCGCCAGATCTTCTTTGTCTTTGTGAGGATTTCGAAAATCCTTTAATTACATATGTTCATTATACATCGTACGGTCATTTTTTGTCAGGTACTTTTTATATTCAATTTTAAATAAAACAACTTACAATAATTTATGATCACACGATGTACGATGAACATATGTGATTGAAAGATCCCAGGATCCTCACAAAGATGATCTAGCGGGGATCCTCTTGGCAGTTTGAGAACGCATGTAAATCGACTTTAAGTTCAATTTGCTATCCCTGCTAACAGAATATTTTCAATGTGTCGGGAACATATATCGTTACACCAAGTATTATAAATTATAATACAAGTTGTTGAATATTTGAAAAAAAAAAAAAATATGTCAACCACTTGCATTGATAACACTTAAGGTACCAAGCTGTGTTACTGTCACACTAAAAAATTTCTCATATAAATAGATTTTAAGTTAAATTTACATATAAGTTTTAGTGCTAATACATTTTAAACATGTTTTTTTTTCTTGGTCAAAACCCATTTTAAACATGTTAATGAGTTTCACTAACACAATAATCCAATGGTATTCTGCTCTAATTGGAAGTGGGAGGTTTCAATTTCGACTTTCATAATAATGAGTTAGATAACTAATTACTCATCCAAAAATTGCCCCTTCCACTCCCCAATATTATTGCATCACAAAGCAAACAAAAAAAAAAAGGATCGGACAATTAAAGATTGGGAATGTCACTAGCATTGTGAGTACAACCACCGAGATAGGCATTTTTAGCTAGATTAGGAATAGTTATATCCCACAAATTTGTCACAAAAAGGAATATTTCTTTACTACTACATAACATTTAATGATATGAGAAATAAATGATTGAGATTGAAAATAATTTTTAACTACTTGTGAAAATAAAATCTAATAATTAAAACACCCATAATAAAGCCGCAACAAAACTGAACTAAAAGATTTTTCAAGATGTGGAGCGTCCGTACACAATGCAATCAATCACTAACTTCGTGATACGAAAATACAATAACGCATACACACTTGTCTCATTAAGGTAGGCTCATGAGGGTACGCAGTTGGGATCAGGAATAACTTGCCATCCTCCAGCTGCTGCTAGGTCGTTTTGTGTGGTTGGAATTGCAATTTGTTACGTTGAATACAGGCCAACCAAATTCATCCTTACTAGGGAGGTTGATGACATTCGGAGGTCCACGTATGGCTAAAGCTAGAAGAATAGACTGTTGTGATTGATTTCTGGACTCCTTTTTGTGATGACCCATCCCTATTTCTCACTGTAATTTCTTTTCCATTGGTGTAATTTGACAATTATACCCTTATTTGGACAAAAGTGGAATTTGACATGGACGTAGTTTTTCAACTGTTGTTTCTTTTTCTAGGTTTTGTACTTATAAAGTACTTGTCGTTACGAATGCGTGAGCGCGCATTAGACTCAAATGGGATCTGGAACGAAAAAGTTATGCATAGTTAAAGTACATTAATCACGGGTCGCGCGTACAAATTTACAGTGTCGGAAACACTGTCAAAGAGGCAGATTTAGTACATTAAAAATTGTATAAAATCCATCCCTTCCCTAATTGGTGGATCCAATCCCCCTATCTTCAACAACCAATCAAATTATTCAATTTGATTTTTCCACCAATCCCTCGCCACCATTCCTTTTTCCCTAATTTTCTTCTTCACCAATCAATTGTTTTCCCTCTCTCACTCACGTTCAATCAGAAAACAAGTTCCATTTCTGTTCCACCAATCGGAAACTGAGCAAACCTCTCTCTCTCTCTCCCCCGAATACCCTCTTGCACACCCTCACTCTGCAACTCACTCAAACAGACACCAAAACACACAAACGTGTCTTGAGAACCACACCTTCGAACTCATCTCACCACCACGAACACAACCGTGCCCTTCGATCGTGGTTTGACCAAGTTTTGGAAGTCGAACTCGGAAAGTCCGACTCGGCTCAACCGTTCCTCAATGAGTTGCGATTGAGTTACAGGTTTTCAAGAAGTCTAAAGGCCTTCATTCAATTCCCCAAGGTCTTTAGTGAAGGTTTGAGGAAGAGTTGACGTGAAACTACCTAGTTTTGAGAAATCGAGTTTTTGGCCTAACTTTTCGATGCTTTTTCAGGCCATGTTCCATCCATTTTTGAACTTCCAAGAGGTACAATCTTGTTCTCCTCTTCTCTAGCTTCATTTTTATATAAATTTCATCAAAAATGGTTGAAAAATGAGCAAGTTATGAAGCTTTGAAATTCTACCCAGAAACCAACGAAGATTTCCAGATTTCCGGCGAGTTCAGACGGTGGTAAACAACGGAAAACAACGGAGACTGGTGAGGACTACCGCAGAAGACAACGGAATATTCCATCAACTCTGACAAAATATCCTAATGGCGTCAGGTAACTCCGTTACCATTTAACGGAATATTCTTAATGGCCGTTAGGCCTCTGTCAGTCTCTGCCCATGCGTGATGGCTAGTAAGGCCGTGCCCTAGGCGGCGCGTCTGGCCTCCGATTGGCTTTCTGTCAATTTGTGTAGGTCCGTGACGTCGAGTAGATCGTTTCATATATTTAAACCCTATGTTTGAACAAACTATGAGAGTTTTATTTAAGTTTCCGTATATGTGTTGTTAAACTAATTAAATTAGTAATTTCATGTATAGGGGAAACGTATCCCGAGGACGTATTACGTATCTGTGAGTGGGCACTTTGTTTTCGTGTGTATATATATATATATATATATAGACACACACACGCACACACATACCTTATAGTTTCCACAAATGCCTTTAAATCGATTTATGCATTTTATGCCATGATTTATTTAATTTTCGAAAATGTTGTTATGTGGTTGAGATTTACATATTGTCGTGGCATATTCATATGCATTTTACTTGCTCGTAAATGTTGCACTATTATGAGATGCTAAAACAATCCTACAAGATATGCATGTAAGTTCAGGTAAGTTATTACATTGTTGCAATCATAGAATCATTATGGCATGCATATATTTATGTAGTGCTCATCATTGTTGCACCCGGTGTTAGTGCTTCCGCCTCGAGTCAGAGCCAATCCTTCACGTGATGTTCACCTCTGCACCGCATGCTTGCATTGGATCCAAGTAGGTGTTAGCCCTGTCGTACAAGTCGCATTAGGCGACTTCGACTCATAGGTGACCGCGCATAGCGCTAGCCTTCACGTGATCATAGCACTAGAGCGTATATTATTACACCTAATCTTGTCGGACAATATAGTATGTAGCACTAGAGCATATATACCAAACAAACACTGAAGAAACTGGACTTCTTGCTTAAGTAGAAAGAGAAAGCAGAATCAAAAGGACATGACCAGCCACTTTTGACTAAAACTTGTTCCTACCTTTACTAAACTCTTATCAATACATAGCCACCAAATAATTAAATAATCACGGTTATGATGAAATATTTATTTTATAAATTTCAAGTCATTAAGTGGAGAAGCACTTTCGTTGCATGAATACATTATTACTCTGACATTTTAGGTTAATAATGTAATATTATTATAAGTAAATTTCATTCTATCTCACGTTATAACACTAGCACAAAATGTCATGTCCGGATAGTCATCAATCACTGAAAGTGACCATAAAAAAAAATAAAAAAAAAAAAAAAAAAAAAAAACACCCCAAGGTGACATAGTTGGCTCAACAAGAAGTTAGGTCAATTGTTCAACTCCCATGGAGGAAAGGCACCAGACCAAGTGGTAGGTATCAGTTCCATCCTTCAGGTGTGACCAAAACATCTCCACAAGCATTAGAAAATGAAGACAATATAAATCTTCCATGATTCTTCAGGTAACTTTAACTTTAGTTGAGCTAAAGAAACAAAAGAAGAAAAATTAAACAAAGCTTTAGCTTTAGTTATATAAATTATTTGCATTTTGGGAGGATGGTTCCTCCACAACTTCCCAAGAAAATGTATGAATATAGGAAACATCAGACAATATAGTATGATTGCTTCCTTGCAATTCACTTCTTTATGAAAAGGGTGTTCAACCCCAAAGCTAAAAGCTTCCCTTCTTTTCTTTCATTGGTCTCGTTTTTAAAATTTGAAGAATTATTATTAGACCAGAAAAAAATTGGGTTAGTACACTTGTTGGAAATAGATTGCTTACATATCACTTAAAAAATTATGTTGAGTCAATTCAGTGTTTAGAATATCCACGAAATTAGCAATATTTTTGTCGAAGTATCCGAAAAATCAAGAATCGATATGGAAATAGGGGTGAAATGTAAACTTTACCATATACCGGTTTGATATAGGAAAATCAATGAATATTGATAATATTTACCAATTCATTGCAGAAAATTTGTCGGAACTCATTGTAGATTTTAAATTTTTTAAAATTTCTTTGAGAAATTTTTAAACATTGGTTCAATCATCCATTCACAAATGGGTGATTGTAATATGTTAGTGCACATGAATCTCACATACATACATACATACATATATATATATATATATATATATATATATATAAACAACTTGCAAGCACTCATGACAACTCACATAAATCAAGCATGCAAATTAGCCTTGCATTTTCATCATTTAAATTGTATTTTGTACGTAATTATTTCGAGCATTCTAAAAAATAAACAAATTAGTGAGCTCCTGCTTTTTGATGCTGCATACTTGAGTTTACTGATTGGAAGGGGAAAAAGGGAAAGGCATAAACCAAAAGTAGATAAAGTCATGGGAAAAAAGCTTGATGGGATGGTAAAGTTTCATGAATCCAGTAATGGAATTAGATATTGCAGGTAGAGATAAAGGGATAGATAAAGAGTGTTTCATTTTTGTTTGACCAAAAAAAAAGAGATAATGTTGTATTTTGTTGGCAGGCACTGAAACTAAGAATCTAAAATTAAGAAACACCATTCAAATCTAACCTCAAGATTTCCTAATTATTATATGTATTATTTTTCAATATAATTTAGTAGTAAATAAACACAAACTGATTACATGCCTCATTTGGAGTAGCAAGACAGGGATGTGTTACACAAACTCATATATATATGATATATATATATATATATATATTATAATATATATTTAAAGGGAGCGGATTCCACAATTTTATACATACATTCTTGTAGGGCTATCTTTATAATGTATTTTAACAATCCGAACTGTTTATTTTTAGAATATCATTCATAGTTCATCATTTCTTGCAAAAAATAAAAATAAAAATAAAACAAATAAAAAAACCATTAAGACATTCATTTGTACTTGTAGTGGAAAAAATTGACCAATATGAATCTACAAAAAAAACCCTAAACTCTTAATCCAATGATCATATGATTTCATATTTGGGTATCTTTGGCAGACATGATATTTGAAAGAATACCTAAAAGAGAAACCAATCCCATCGTTAAAATATATTACTAAATGAACTCCATAAAAACATGTATCAAAAATTATGTAACAAAAGTGATGTCTCGGATTATTTCTCATACATAAAATAAGAGAAAGAAGTCTATAATAATTCATAGTATCTTTTTAAGATCATGCAGAGTCATCTCTAATGATTTATGACTTTAAAAAGAAATGACACCTTTATTTAAATTACTGATTAAAATAGCTTTATGCACGTTAGTGGGTTTTTTAATAATCATGTAGTGGCAAGGAAGTTCATTTATTTATTGATTAGGGTGGCGATGAAGTTGTTGTTTACGATGTTCTAGAGGAATTAAAAAGAAAATATTTATAATAATACAAGAACAATGACATGGCATTCTAATTATTGTCCATTGTAGAGTACAAACTTATAAGGGCATCTTCAAACGAATTAGCAAAAATTGAAACTATAGTAATTCCACAAAATGTTGTTTTCCGAATATAGATTAAAGTAATAACAACGCAAGAGATTATGATGTGAATATGGATTAAAGTAACAAAGCAAAGTATTATGATGTTTCCTTCAAAGATTATCCGCATACTATATATTTATATTTTTTACAAGACGATATATATTTTAAGTTACTCTAATAGTCTAACTTATGAGAAGAGAGATTCAAACTTTAGTTGCAAAGATATAACACACTTTGTTTTGATTCTGACCGATTTACGTAATCAACGCGTGCCAATTTAACAAGAAATTATGGTAAAGGGTTCTAAGGCATTCATCTAAACCTACAAACTTGGCAAGGTTTCCTTTTACATTTTAAATTTTTACCAATACATGTTTGTTTTCTTCTTATAAAAAGAGTAAAACAATCGAGGCATTTGTTTAATTTTTTTTCTTCGGAGGCTAATTTTACTTACTATTTATAAAAATTTTAAATAGTGGGTATTCAGGCAATATTTCACATGTTATAATAAAATACAAGTGAAGAAAATAATTTTTTTTATGTTCTTTTATTTTTTTATGATATGTGAAATACTTGCTTAAATACTAAACACTTTAAATAAAAATTCCACCACATATGAAGATTCCACAGCTTGGAGACTTCGCTTGTTGACCAAAAGAAAAAATGCTTGGAGACTTTGCTGACTCACGTTTCATTGTCATCGTATGAACAAAAGGTTTAAATTCATATTCTTTTCTTATGGAAAGGGATCCGGAAAGGATATCTTCTACTATGATTACTTGATCAAGTGATCCAGGCTTTCTAAATTTCATTCAACGGTCCACTTGTTTTGATTCCTTAAAAATTGTGATAATTTTTTATCGTTGGATGAAATTTGAAAGATTCAAATCACTTAATCCGTTGATCTTAGTGGAAGAGATCATGATCTCTTTCCTTTTCTTATTTTCCTTTCCTTCAAATTTAAGTAACATGTTAAAATAATTTGGTCCACAAATATCTTTTGTTCTTGAATTAAAAAAAGCTGAGTAATTTTATAGATAATAAATTAAAGGGTACAAACATGTGTGGAATTGACATAATTCGGTCAACGATGGCAAACATGCTTCTTGAATCTTCAAATTCATTACCTTCCTAGCTCTTTCCTGTCAAACAAGGATGCTAATCAAAACTCTTTGAATGATTACTTCTTTTTAAATGTCTCAAACTTCCGCAAAACTCAAATAAAATTAGTCTCTTGCAACACGCTTACTTGCGTTGTAATTGACTTTTTATTGTTTTATAGTTTTTTTATTTTTTTATTTTGCTTATTTTTAAAAATAATAAATGTAACCACCCGCAGTTCACCAAGTGAATTTTTTTTTTTTTGGATTAATCTCAGTTTATTATCCTTAAGTTTCTTGATTTTCAACTTTTAGTACATCAAGTTTTTTTCATCCTAGAGTGATACCTAAAGTCAAAATTTTGGAACAGTTTCATACATCTGTTAAGGTTGTTGTTAAGTCAGCCGTTAATTGATGACGTGACGCCTGCGTGGACAATGACTGGGCGGTTGAGGCAAGCCATTCAAATCTGAGGCTAGGATTTCGATAGGAGAAGGGGGATTGAAATCGTAGGAGGGTAGGGTTTCGGAAGGAGGGGGATGAGGATCTAGGATTCGATTAGAGGAGGAGGGTTAGGGTTTGATGGAAGAGCAGCCTTTATGGATTTGAGATTGGGAGAAGCTTTGAGTGCCAGAGGTCCAGGGAGAGATATGTGTTTGCTCCCTTAGGCGAAAATTTTTGGGGAGGAAGGGAAGGTCCAATTTTTTTTTTTTTTTTTTTTGAAAAAAAAAATTCCACGTGACGCTCAGTCATTGTTCACATAATCGTCACATCATCAGTTAACGGGAGACTTAACAGCTAGACTAACAGATGTATGAGACTGTCCCAAAATTAACATTTTAGGTATGACTCTGGGATGAAAAAAACTTTATGTACCAAATGTTGAAAACTACGAAACTTGAAGATAGTAAACTGAGATTTACCCTTCTTTTTTTCTTTTTGTCTTTTTTGTTTTTGAAATCAGTGAGAGAAGAATAGTATTACGAAGGCTTCACACTTTTTGCAAGAGCTTCTCCCATATAAATAGAAACATAACTAATTATAAACCTAAACAACACTATAAAATCTGATAATAAGAAAAATGTTTGAAATAATTCTGCATGTAGTGCGATCTATTGTGTGCGTAAACTGATTCTACCTATCCATATTCACAAATAATTTCGCATATAATTCTCTCTTATATGTACAATTATTTACGAATATAAATAGTTAGAATTAGGTGACGCGCACGCGCCTGATAAATCACACTACTAATAATTTATAAACACAACATGCCAATATCCGCAGAGTCCAAAACAAGACATTTTTTGTCTTCCACTCCACACAATATTATTTTTTATTTGTTATTTTGTTGCATATGGTAATAAAGTATTAACATTTCTCTTGTATGACATTCACCAGGCAACCGCAACGCCAAGTTGGCCCGTCTACTTGACGCCGTTACGGATGACCGATACCAATGGCCAAGGGCCAGGAGTCAAGACCCCAACAACTCCGTTAAAACGGACTTCAAGTAGGGCCGACTGGTGCGAAAGACCCAGTCAGGTTCGGCCGGATTGTCTTTGAAAATAAAAAAACCTGGCGGGCCCCTCACGCGTCAAGCAGCGAAGGTGGGTAGAAACGTCATTCTCCTGATTCCTTATCTATAAATCCCTCATTTTCTCCTCCATCACACAAAACGGATTTGCAGGGAAAGATCCAACAGAGCGAAAAAATCCTCCTTCTTCCCCTTCATGTGAGGAAGAAGAAGAGGCCACAAAAAAAAATCAAAAACAAAAAAAATATAGAATTTTGTTAATTTCTTCTGTTTTCTTTTCGATTTTTTGGTATTTTTAGGTGTTTTGTTTTGGATTTTAGGGTTTGATATCATGGGGACTGAGATCTTACGGCCTCGGGATTGTCTGATCGAAAGGATCAGAGTCCCTCCGGCGTCGTTTTCGCGCCGGAAGAGCAGCTACTATGGGAAACCCGTCGTTAACCAGAATTACGTTTCTAACCCTAGATCTAGGAAGCCGGCGGTGCGATATGAACAAAGGAGAATCGAGGCGCAGCCGCCGCCCGCGGTGGTCGCGAAGAGATCCAGCTCCGACGATGAACGTCAGGGCTTCAAGATGGAGAAAGTCACAATCTTGAGGCGCGGAAAGTCGCTGGACTCGAAGATGAATGAAAAGGGCGGTTTGGCTGGTACTGGGACCGAGAGGCCGCGGCCCGGCCCGGAAACGGTACAGAAGCAGGTGCGGATAGTGGATCTGAGGTCTCCGGTGGGTGGTAAGACCAACGTGTACGCCGGATCGTCGTTCGTGGTGTCGCCGGAGCCGATCGCCCTCCCGTTGCCGTCGTTTTCGAGGAAGAAGCAGGTGTCAAAGGTCGTTGACGACGACTCGGCGACCCGAGACCTGAGGCGGTTGCTCCGGCTCGGTTGAAAATGGAAGATCCGGATCCGAGGACCCGAGAAGGACCGTGAATGGATCCGGACCCGATACGGTTCTGTCCTTCGTCGTCTGCTCGGTTTTTCGGGTCGAATCTGTCCGTGATTTTTTTAAACGGAGGTTGATCTGGAATTCCGGGAAAGACGGGGGCGAATTAGTAATTACCTACTGTTTGGGTACTTGGTAGCTAAATCTTATCACGTTGTTGTGGGAGAAGGGAAATATTTTGGTGTTTGTTGATGAATTTGGGGTTTATGGGTAAATTAAAAGTTAGGATGGGGTGAAAATGGGAGGTAGAAGAAGAGAAAAACGTGGGAAGTGTTGGGGTTGATTCGTAATATGTGGAAAATTAATTAGTGAGAGTAACTATGTGGTTTGTGGGTGGGCTGTGGAATTGTGTTTATGCTCTGTTGGGAAATTGTAGTTTGTATCCATAATAATGGATTATTGTAAAAAGAAAGATGAAATTTATATTTTATTTTAAACTAATTCTGTCTTGTTTTATGTTTCAGGTTCGATTTTCACTTCTTTTTCTTTCCCTTAACAATGACAACTAACATTTATTAAAAATAAGATTTTGTATAACGAAAAAATGTCCCATGAAAGCTATAAAAAGTAGGGAGAGTCGAGCGTTTGGAAAAAACAACTTATGTGTGACATTATATTATACGCGTGACATCATATCATTGACTCATGGATGCTACAATGAATTGGTACCTCTATTTTTCATTTTTTTTATTGAAGTGCACCAGTAACATGAAAGTTGCTCGATTCAATAAGGCTGCATGTGTATTTGTTCAGGGGAGAAGACACCGCATTGGTGGTCAATCCGTTACAAAGAAGGCTTTCTGATACAAGGAGCTCTGGATATGTATCAAATGTAAATCCAATTCTCATCAATTTCATTTCATGTTCCTCTCGTATTTAAGTAATCAAGTATTATTCTCATTCATATCTTTTTTACCATTCCAAGTAAGACAACATGCCCTAGATGAAGGCCTGATGATTCTTATAGGTCAGAACGATCCGGCCCGAAGAGTCGAAGCCTTGAGCTTTGAACACCTTGTGGTATCCATCGTGCGCTATAAAAATACGTGGAAAAGACACAATCTTGTAAAACAAGGAAATAGTAAAAACATACTAAGAAATGATTTCCGCACTCTAATTTTCTTCCGCCACACTCCTCCCCTTTTTCCCAAGTCCTTAGAATCAACAAGAGGAGTGCGGGAGATGAAAATCACTACCCATACACATTTACATCTCCATAAATCAACGCTATCAGGATTCAAGAACGGGCAACATTAGAGGTAGAAAATCTTTACATCAAGTAGCAATACTGGAAACAAATCGAATTTCGCTGAAAAAACATCGACCCGAAATTTGAGAATTTCATAGAGAACAATGACCAAAAAGTAAACAGCGCAACCTTCAGCTGCCTGTTGAATGTAACATAAATATCTTCAGAATCAGTATAAAGTTCTCAGAGTTCAAATAAAACAATTGCTGGGATCCAAGGAAAAGGAAACACAAATGGAATGTCAAGAAGGTGGCAAGGCTACACAGCCAGTCAGATTAGATTAGATTAGATTAACATACAAGAAGAATTTTCAGCCGAATGAGAAAAACACGATGAGAAAAAAGAATAAAAATGTCAACTTCTATAACCGAACGAAGAAGGTAAGTCGGGTCTGTTTTCGCTATTTTTTTTCTCAATTTGAAATGGAGGGGATGGCCGAGCAACATTTCCGAGAATCAGAATCTGAAGTCAGGCTCCACTCGCATTGCCCAAGAAAACTTTGCGAGGAGCGACTTGTTGAATATCTGTATCATTGGCAAATGGTCAAGCATATAGCAGCTTAGACAAAGAACTAGCCAACATTTTATCGAAATGAAAAGTATCTATTGATCGGCTGAACTACTGTCGATAGTAATATTTATTTCAAAAACAAACTCACGAGAAGACGTTACCTTCTCAATGGGAACTTCATGTCGCTTGCACCAAGCAACGGTGATCCTAGGGTCAAGATAGTTGATTTTCGACGTTCCCAACGCCACTGTTTTCAGATCCTCTTTAATTCTCATATCCAGTTCCATTTTTTCTATCTTTGCATTTGTTTGAGCTATCTTCCTCTCCAACCTGTGTCAATCCAAAAATTACTTCACAAGGCAATATCCGGACGTGATGGAAACTTGGTCCAAATAAGCAAAAAAAGTAAACTTACGCTTCCGGGGTCAAATTTTTCTTTTGCTTTCCATCAGCATCTTTCAGTGGGGGCTTTCCTTTTTTGGCCCTGTCCAAATCTACTTTCAGCTCTTTCAGGTTGCCCTACCGCCAAAAATAAAGAATTAGTTCCACAGCAAGAAATAAACATGCATTTCAAATTAATTTTCAATGACATAAGTCTATTAAACCCACTCAGACAAAGAGGTTTCTGTTCTCGAACTTTATTCTCGTACTTTTTAGCTACGTGATAGAGAAAGGGTGGTTGGTCTAACACTCTAACTTCCAGATCATCAACCAAGACTTTTTCCCAAAGCGCAAGTTACACCATCACCCTACTTTTTACTGACTTTCAGTTTACAAACGCAGCCACCTAAAATTTCAGTTAAGTCCCAGATAAGGTCATTACCTGAAGTTCAGCAATCTTCTCAGTTAACTTAGACATTTGTGCACTGTGAGACTTTGAGACAGTACGCTGATGATTACAAATAATGGCAACCTGCAATGAAATGCCAAAAATTGTAGATGCCGCTGAGTAAAAGTAACAGTGCTATTAGCTCAGTACAAATTCTCAAAGGATTGACTGCCACACCTCTTTGTTTGCATGCTGATAAACAACGAGTTTCTCTGAAAGATCTCCGTCTTTGGTTTCCTTGTTCAACTGCCATCAGGCCAAGGCAAGGAAGAAAAATAAGAAGAATCATCATAACAGGAAACTAAATTAGAGAGGGGAAGGAGAACAAAAAAGGGGAACCACACAAAACTAGAAATTTGGTAGAAATCCAGAGCAAGCTAAGAAATCCCTTAGTATCCTTGTTAATGCTGTATATCATACAAATGAGTCCCATAATCTAAGCAACGAGGATTCAGGATTTGACAAAGGAGGAGCCTCTCATCTCAACCATACTGAATATTTGACAATAACAGTGTCATCAGATATATACAAAAACTATTTAGTCAACAAAGCATTTACAAATCATCAAAAAATTTACGAGACGAAATTAAATTTAGGGAGTTTCCCTCAATTTCTACCAAATGACACTGTATAATGCACCCCATTTTGGTTATCGCTCTGTTTCAATAATGCTTGCATGTAGATCAACTTTAATTTTATTTGACAACAAATAAAAGAAAATTTTCTAAAATTTTCCCAAACCAAATGTCAAGAAGTATAACTGCACCGGGTTTGTATATGTAAGAACCGCAATTTTTCTAATCTGCACGAAAGCTCCTCATGATTCATGATTAGGATTTTCTCCCATCCTGAGGTGAGACTCAGAATTTTCTCCTGAATCATTAACTCTTATTCTTATATTATAGAGGATATAAAAAATATAAGAGCAGTACAAGGTTCAAAGACAGTGAAAGCCGGTATCAACTTACTATGTTATCCAATGTGATAGATGCATTGTAGGTACGAAACACTTTCGCTGTAAGGCCATCCATTTTTTCCTTTAGATGAGCATTCAATCTACTGGTATCCAACAAGTCAAAGAGATCATCACTGCCACTTTTCCCTGGAGCAAATAGAAAAAGAAAGTTGAGCACATTCATGGGCTTCAATTACCACCGAAAACAAAAAAAAAAAAAAAAAGGAAATATCAAAATTAGAAAGCAGGTACTCACCAGACTGGAACTGCATAATTGCCTTGTAAACAGGAATCTCAACTTCAACAGTATTTTCATATCTGATTGAATCTTTACCAAGGAAGTTGAACTGAAATTATAAAAACAAAAGTTGACTGGTTATTTAATGGTGATAATACAGTGGAAAACTACCTACAATGATTTTAAATTTAAGCATTAGCATCACCTCCAACGAGTTAGGGGGGATTGCTTTTACATTCTCTACTTTTAAAGTGCAGCAACCAACAGTATCGGCTTCATCATCATCCTGCAAGAGAACAACCAGTAAATTCAGGCATAAAAAAATTCTGTCCACTTCTTTGTGGACAAATGGTTTGAAACTATGATTCTTAAGCTTGCTCTAGCTAAGAGATCATATTACTGTAATCATATCACTCTGTCAATACTGGAGAGCTTTTCCATGGCCTCACTAATGTTTATATCACTTGTTTGCCTAAATTACCTCGTTCAATAAAAATGGCATAAACAAATAAAGGCCAATTGCTTCTATGTACAGCTGAAGTAAGGTTCACATACTATACCTTCTCATTGCCCGCCCTGAGGGCAAGTTTATCAATGAGATAGGTAGCAACCGCAATCTGCCGCTTAGACACATCTTTACTAGTAAAATCCTTGGTGTATGAAGCCCTGATTTTTCCTATGCAGTCCTGCACTCAAAATAGCAGGGTTTCGTCAATATGAAGACAAGCATCTTCTCTGTTATCCAAAGAAACTACTAAAAGCTCATGGGCATATCTCCATCTACGCACTGTCAATCTCCTTGCTTTATCATATTTCAGCTCGTCACTTTTCCCCTTCAAGGAACTACTAGGTGCCAGAAATACGTATTTGAATTCCTTTTGATTAATTGGATCATTCCAGAAAGCTAACCATGTAACTGTATTGTCATGTCTTACTTCTTTCCAGCTGTAGCACATGTTAATTTAAATCAAAATTAATTAATATGGAAAGCACACAAAAATAAATATAGTACAAAAGCATCATCCTTTGAATATCTGAAAGTAAATGAGTTGTTTTGCTTTCTAATTGGAGATCATGAAGAACAAAACCTTTCACCAGGGATGGGACATTCGGGAATTGGGGCATCCTTTCCTATATTAATTGTAACATCACTTGGACGAATCCGTCTTTTCAGCTTTCCCGACTGATACCATACATAGAAAGCATTAACAACGACATATACAATTGACCAGATAGCCACCACATATCAAACTATCTTCTCATGGACAACTCTGAAATATGTATCACAGAGAAAATAATATCAAACCTTTGGATGCTCTCCACGGCCTCGAAATAACCCAGGTGGTTCAACTCTGAAGTTTCCAACCTATATTAATATTGCAATCACACAAATCACTAATGTAAACTTTTCATGTAATGATTAAAGGCAAAGAAAAGAGGTATGCTACTATCTTCTTATTATAACAAGGAAACCTAATTCATATAATCAAATAGGAAGGATTGACAGAAAAGCACCATAAATTTTGTAGATATATTACGGATGGGATAATCAGATTGAAACTTAGGCTACAGGAGAAAAGCAAGTAAGAGATAACCTTCTCCTTATCACCATCAACCTCGGCCCACATATACTTCTCCTCTTGTTTCAGTTTCTCCTCCTTCAAGGCCTTCTTCTCCTGAATCAACAGAAATGCCTTAACAATTTAAGGAGGCATAAGGAAAATCTTCCGCAGAGCACATGACCGAAGATTACCTATAAATTTTGACTTAAATATATAAAACAACTAGCATAGCATATGAAGCCCTGGAGGACAATCAATGTATAATATATAGAATAGTCAAGTGATACTTAAAGAATCTTTCATATGTAAATGACCGAGTATCAGGAAAGGAAAGCACTGGTAATTCTTGTTATTCCATCTTGACTTAACAACATATTGTGGCTTTTTATGACAAGTGACAACTGATGTTGATTGCAAGCATGCTTGGGAAAGATGCAATTGGACAAAGACTTTCAATCCTATCATGTGATTTAAATTAATGTTTTGAACTGTAATCAAACTCAAAATGTTAGCTTTATTTGATTTGATTATGGATATATGTTAGAGCCACCAACTTACTTCCGTGCTCATTTGTTTCTTCTTTTCCTTTTCATTCTGATACCAGTCATATATTGGCGTAAAATCACAAGCATCCAATTTCTGAATTACATGGTTCTTCCCAAGAAACTTATGCCAATCAGCCCAGAAATTGTTTCTGAATGTTTCTTTTTGTACATAATCAGTATCTTTCATCACTGCATACATTGTTGCAACCTGCACTTATAAAATTTCAAGCATAAGTATAGTAACTTGCAGAAACTACGAGGAAAGTAATCTAAATTAAAGAGAACTGAATTCATTAAGGTACTAGAATCTACAAAGCAGAAATAAAGATGAGTGAGACAGACACCTCCTCTTGTTCAGGAGTCAAGGTGACTGGCTTCCCATTATAGAGCATCTTTACCCCATGAGGGTTGTATGGAGGCGGGAAAATGACACCATTGTGTTTTAAAGTAGTCCATTTTATCTGCCCATCGTTAGAGCCTGGTGGCTTTGTTGTCGACTTAGAATACTTTGAAAATTTTGAAGCTTTTTGGCCCTTCTTGATCGTTTTCTTGATTGAGGATGAACCAACTTTGGTTACCTTTAGCTTTGTCAGAGATGGTTTACTATCCGATGCAACTTTCTTACTCCTCTGGGAAATTGGAATGAAGTCATCATCATCATCATCTTCTTCCTTTGGTTCTTGTTTGGCTGATACCTGCTTATTCTTTGCAGATGTAGAAGAATCTGAAACTTTTGGCCTTTTAGCTGAACAGTTCTCAGAACAATTGACCTTATCTAGAGGCCTCTTACTAGAGACCACAGATGAAGCTTTGCCTTTATCCATTGTGCTGGAAACATTCTTCTGAACTTTTGAAACAACGGGCTTCCTTTCGTTAGAATCATAAGGCCGACTGCCTAATGTTCCCAACTTGGACTTCGGTGCAATCCTTGATGATAAAGGTTTATCATCATCCGAATCTTCAGAAGGTTTCACTTTCCCCAGTCTGGCACCTATCGGTTTTTCATCTTCAGAATCACTATTTCCTTGAGCAAGATGTTCAATAGAATTAATTTCCTCCTTAATTGTGGTAGACTTATTCTGTTCTGACAACCGCTTTGACTGACCATTTAATGTAGTCAACGGTGGTGATTTGGGTACTGGTGATGCCCTAGATGAAGTTGAAGCTTTTGAATTTGATACTGGTGATGCCCCAGCAGATGAAGTTGAAGCTTTTGGGCTTGCTAGCGGAGATTTTACTGGTGGTGATTTGGTTGATGGAACCATCTTACCCTTTTGAACACTCGAGTTTAGACCATTGGAAGAACGGTGCTCAGATACCTGCTTCCCTGGTTGTCCAACTTGCCTCTCAGCTGATAATTTCTTTGCTTCAGCGTTTAATTGATTCGGTTTAGATTTTGTGCTGTACCGTTTGAATACTAAAGGTTCATCATCCTCGTCTTCACATAAATTCAGTTTAGTAGAAGTCTGAACAGCCATTATCCAACAATATACTCAGGTGGCATGTAAATCACCTAAATTTGTTCAAAACACAACTTATCTTTCAAGATGGATACAATACCCCAACAACAATTATATCGAAACCCCAAATCTGAGGCTAAATCATTAACTATCGACAACGAAAGAAATATTCTCATCGTGATAATCAAATACATCCAATTATATGATGACACCAGAACATAAACTCTTGCACAGATTGTAAAAAAATCGAAACATGATGATATTTTCAGATTCTCTGCTACTTGAATTTGTTTCCCTATTGATATTCCAATTCAAACTTTAGCATTTATTCAATTACCCAGTTATTTAAAGTGATCAAAACTACAAAATCAATACAAATTGCACAGCCAAGTAACTGAAAAAACTTAGCTGACCTAATTCCTAAACTTCTAGGGCAGCCTAAACAATGGACATAAGGGGTAAAAGAAAGCCCTAAAAAGATTAAGAGTTTGCCTACAAAATGAATTAAGGACTGGAAATATTGGTTGGGAATCTAATAGAACAAACCCTAAATTTGAAATCACCGTGATCGCAATCAGAGAGGATATCGTATGCACATGATGACATGCAGAGAAAACAAACCCTAATGGGGCAAAAATCAAAAGAAAGAGATTAAGGCGTACTTGTTCGTCAAAGAATAAATTGAGTTTGCAGCTTCTGATCTCTTAAATTAGGGCAAATTCGAAAGTCTTATTGAACTGATTGAATTGATATTTGGGAAAAGATGGCCATCACAGTTACCGTTCTAAGTGAGAGAGAGAGAGGGCGAGCTTCGGTTTTGTGATATCGGATTTGTGGAATGTAGGTGAATGAAAATTGGTTTCGGCCTTACGCCTCAGGGAAAGGCTTTTACAGAGGTAACAATGACAAAACAGATAATGTGCAGTGTTTACAATACCAGTATTGTTAAAAAATTGTATTTAAGTATGATTGTGTAAATTTTAAGGAATTGTTATTAGCATTTAAAAAATTTCATTCACACTTTTCGTTTATATTTTTTTTTCTTCTAATTATAGAAATTTTGGAATGCCAAATAAGATTTTTTGAGTGCTAATAACAATTCTTAATTTTAAATTAAATTTGATACTAGTTATTCTTATTTATTAGGACTTGTATTCTTTAGAGTATGAGGATTATTTCCTTCCTTATTACCATAAATAAGGGTATGGGAATAACACATTATCTACACAACCCTACAAACACATATCTCTCTACTCTTTCTCTCTCTCTCTCTCCCATGCCCCTTTTCTCCCCTATAAAATAAGCTACAACACATTATCAACACGCTCATACTGTTGCGCTTAGGAATCTAACGTGGAAGTTTTCTGCATCAAACAAGTTCATCAATATCATCACGCAATCAAGTTCTTTCAAAACAACGGTTTTTATCTTGATATTTTGGCAATCCTAATAGCATGATCATTCATCATAATGCATGACCCAACATTACGTTTTTTGAATTTTAGATTCTACATAAATTGTGTATGTATTATATCCATAATTGTTGAATTATGTGAATTGATATTGCCATGAATTGCATCATGTATATGTCAATGCATTAAATTATATGATGGATATGCATGAAATTGAATTAATTTTACAATTTGGAAATTGATAAATTAAAAATAAAATAAAATTCTAGGGTTAACTGAAAACCCAACCCGCGAGCAAGCCGAGACCACGGAGCCTCTTGGGCTTTAAACCCAGAACCACAAACAATGGCACGCCATTCTTGGTGACTTGCAGTTACCACCAACATGGCCTTGGCCGAGTTCTTCAAAATCTCACTAGAATTCAAAGCCCCATTTTTTCGAATTCATGGATTCTTGGTTCGCAGGACGTCGAGACTCGTTTCTCCATCATAATCGAGGTTCCCTGTTAAAATCCAATTAGCACCGACGTTTTTTCGATCCAAAACATGGCCGCCAACAGCAGCGTCGCTGGACTCACCTTTAGTGACATCGCCCAACAACGCTGGGATGTTCTTTGGTCCTTACCCAAGCCCATCTGAGCTTGGCGAAATCTCAGTCCAAACACCAGCCCTTTGGGCTCTGGTGTTTCTCTAGGCCCACTGGAGAGATTTGTTTCTCTGAGCGCACAAATTGCAGCCCATAACTAGTTGCTCAACCCAAGTGTGACACCAGCCTGAGGACTATGGTGTTTTCCTTGCCTGCGTCACCTTGAATCCCAACTTTTGGTTGGTGCATCCGTATACCCACACGTGCACGATCCCAGCTCGCTGTTGGAGAGTTGTGCACCACATCGTGTCACACTTGAACCACGCCCATTTGGGCCTCTGGTATATTAGGCTTGCAGCCCACACTTTAATTTTGGTTTGAATTCCAAATAATTAATTCTATTATTATAATAGACCTTGAAGATCTATTTGCATATTTTTCTTGTTGCATATTTATGTATATATATATATATTTGTGTTTGTCTGCAGGAACATATGAACCTGAAGTTCATAATTCTTTTGAAACCTGAAGTCGTGCCGTGTTTGAAAACCTGAAGTTTTTATTAAAAACATCTCCCATGAAAACCCGAAACTTTTTCATGTAACTTTAAACCAATCAATGCCTATTAGAACTTGAATGTTCTCCTCCTATGTGAATGGATTGATTTTTTTTCTCCATTACACTAACCACATTCTTGTCCATTTATTTTGTGATAAGGACATGTCGAATTTGAACAAACTCAACCTCACCGCCTTAGAGGTCTCTAAATGAAATTACCTCAAGTGGGTCCAAGATGTGAAGCCTTACCTCACCGCAAAGAATTTGCATCCCGCCATTGAAGATGAGATGGATAACCCGGTTAACGAAGCTGAGAAAGCCACTGCCATGATCTTCATTTGAAGACACATTCATGATGCACTGCAAACTAAGTACCTTGCTGAGGAAGATCCACAAGCACTTTGGGTCGCTTTGGGTGATCATTTTGATCACCAAAATGACATCTTCTTGCCTGATGCAAGACATGGCTGGCAACATCTACGCTTATAAGACTTTAAATCTGTGAATAAATATAATTCTGAAGTTTGTCGAATCCAATCACTTCTCAAGTTCTGTAACGAGAACTTGAATGAAGAGGATCTCCTGGAGAAGATTTATTTGACCTTTTCTGTTACCAATAATGTCCTACAACAAAAATATAGGGCTCACAAGTTCACTAAGTTTTCAGATTTGATCTCTGTTTTACTTTTCGCTTAAAAAACAGAATCAATTGTTGATGAAAAATCATTAAGCTCGACCTACTTGGGCGACTGCTATGCTTGAAACACACTATAGCACACACCAACACCCAAAACGTCAACATAGGCGTGGAAGGGACGGCCAGAAGCCATCCGGTCAAGGTCAACAGAGCCAAGGCTCATCTAAGAGAGGAAATGCAATATCCCGTATTTAAAAATAAAAAAAATAAGTATATATATGTACATGTGTATGTATATGTGATTAGTATTTCTATGTTACCAAATTTTTTGTAATTATTTTTTTTTAATGAAAATCTATTCTTATGTACTTGTGTTTCTCTATTTTGGTTTAAAATCACTTTACATAAAATACCTAACTACTGATAGAATGGGAGGTGTTGTCCAAGCTTGGAAACATGTCTTTGTGCCTACTAGTGTACTTGTAAGTAGTTTTTAGTGAAGTTTTATGAGAGAAAATTGGAGCTTTTACCAAACTCCATTTGTATGCCTATTGATTGTAGACTTACCCATGTATTTTGATCTAGGAATAAAACTTAAGCCAAAGCTCAACGTGACCTTAGATGCTTGTATTCAGCTTGCATGATATTGATTAACTTAACACATGTCTCTTTTCCATTTGAACACATACCATTATCAATGATTAGGTTAACATTTGGTGTGTTTCTATTGGAACACATATTAGGGCTAATGATTAGCTTAAACATTTGTTTTCTTTCTATTGGACCACATAATATGGTTAGTGATGAGGACAACACTTGTTGCCTTGGTATTGGAACACATTTTTTGTCTAATGATTGGCACCACACTTGGTTTCTTTTCAACGGAAGGGACATGGAGAAAAGAAAGAGGAAGAAGAAGAAAAAAGAGAGAAAAAGAACAACTCCAACAAAATGTCATTCTCCTTTTCATATTACCTCTTATTTTTCATTTACATATTGTTGAGGCTTTAAGCCATCTTTCATTGTATTTGTAAGTCTCTCATATATAGTGAAATACAATGAAAGCAAACCCTAGTGGATGTAGTCGATTTGGTGAACCACTTAAATCTTGTGTTGTTTATGCATTTATATTTTGGCGATCATTGCCATAAAAAGCACTCCCACCACACCATCGAAAATATCCATTTAATTCCCTTGAGAATGTTGTAAAATAAGAGAGACAAATCCCAAAAAATGCATGAGAGCTTACCAAACAGAATTGCTCTATGGAACTCAAATGGGTTTATGCATCAATATCACCTAAAGAGAGATGGAGTAAAATGGTAAAGTAATATTTCTCAATTAGATTGTTGTATCCATACTATATATTATTGATAAGATAATACGATTTTGTCTACAAACAATTTGATTGGTGTTGCAGATATAATACAATTTTGGCTACTAACAATTTGATGAATGTTGTAGATGTTATAGAGCATGTGATTATTGATATCCTTGTTACATGGCATATACATAAGCATTCTTGTAAAGTAAGAAAAGAGTTAAGTTGTGTTTGAGTTGTGAGGATATTCAAGGGCTGAAGTTTACCTTGAATATAAAAATAATGAACCTTGTATATATCAAGCGTTGGGTGCAGGGCTTGAGTATACAAATTGGTTGATTATAAAAATAATGAAATCTTGTATATGTCAAGCATCGAGGGAAGAGCTTGAATATACAATTGGGCGTCGGGGGAAGTGCCTGTATAATAAAGTGGAATCTGAGAATTTAATTATAAAAATTGGGTTTAAGGGATGAACAGGAGTTAACTCATATTCTAAGGTATTCGGAGCCAAGTGATATAAGTATGGTATGGGACGTGCAGCCTTTGATGCCTTAGGTATGTGTTAGCGAGATTAGAAGGGAGTTAGTACATTTATGCATCTCATTTGAGTATATTTTATGTATTTACAAGAATTGTCACATTTTAATTATTATTTTGCTGGTAGTTTCGGTTGTAAAGTAATTTGTACACTATTTTATTCGGATGTGTATTCAATAAACTTTATGTATGTAAAATTTTAATTTTACTTTCCGCCATATCTTGGTTGTAGAATTTATTTCTATAGCTAAGATATGACTCACACCCTAGCTTGTCAATAGTCTTTATTCGCGGGACAGGGTGTGACAGGAAAGCAACCCAGAAGCGTCCTAACCTCGCTCGCAAGGCCCCAAACTTCAAGAATAAGGTCAAAGCACCTAACACCATGGATGCGGACATGTGCTACCATTGTGGTTCAAAGGACCATTGGTCGCATGTTTGTCGTGTTCCCTAGAAGGTTGTAGCTGAATATCATTCTCGTTGTAAAAAGTTTGGATCAAACTTTATACAAGTGGATGAACTAAAGAGTACCAAAATGGAGGTTTCTAACTTTCAGGAGGCTATTACCCTTATGAAAGATTAGAATCTTAGACATGAACTATTTTTGGTTGCATTTTTAGAATAATGGAGCTGAATTCCACCTAGTGGCCAATCCCCCTCTTTGTTTTTTGTTTAAGTTGAACAATTTTCCTTTATATTTGGATTATTTGTTGGTGATTTATTTTTGGATATTAAGTTTTTTTTAATTACCATCCTTGAATAATTAGATTTTTTTGAATGGATATTTGTTTCTAGAACTTTTGGGAAAGTTAGTTGTTTAGCAAATAGTGCAACCATGCACACCGTTTTGTGTGAACGCATCTATTT